TCCCCCCCCCCCCAATGGCACTAAATGCCACGAAAGTTCGCTTCGCGGTTCCGTCATGCGCTCTGCGCAAATTACGTACGAGATAAAAGTCGAAGAGGTGTTCAGGATTTGAAAAACTGGGCCCAGTCAACGCGCCTGACCACGTTTTTCTTTTCGTTTTCCGGTTCTTTTTGGCTCAAGGTCAGATCCGTGTATTCGCGAGCCAAGTGCGGAAAAGGCGAATTCCTTCTGAACCGGCGGTCAGTTGCCGAGACAGAAATCAGGTCTATTTTAAAAACCTAACCCAGGACACAAAGAGCAACAAATCAGGACTTTTTTTTGCTGTTTGTAGCGCGTGAAATGCTTACATCACAGTACGAAGTTCGATTCGTCCACTGCTTATTTAATACAACAACGGCACAAAGGCGGGTCTTCGATTTTCTCCTTATGTTTGTTGTGTTTATTTACTCTTTAATTCTTCTTCTTAGCCTACTCCCTCTTTCGACCGGACAGCGTGTTTTGGTGACGACTCGTCTCAAAAATTAACAGCGGCCATCAGATATACCGACACTGCGAACACGCAGGCCCGAAACGTCGAACCCAGAATCGGACGTATGGCAAGATAGACGTCGACCTTGGAGATTTCTGTCCTTGATCGGTAAGGGGCAGAGGTCGCGTGTCGCAGAATCACACGGCACTGACAAAAGGGTGGGTTTTGTTACGTCGTCTCCAGCTTTATCACTGTTTATTCATCCACTCTTATCTGTCCTCCGCCGATCACATGCGAGACATTTCATTACTCGAGGACAGACCGTGACTTCGTTAAATTTGTTGGATATAATTTAAATTAATCGCACAGATGCCGTGTCGTAATTGCTGGCTTGCGTAATTAATAGACACGCCAATTCACCGCACGTCGTGTTCGGGAAGTAACACCCGAAACGAAGGCCTACTTGGCCGCCATTTGTATTTTGCCATCTCCCTCCAGACTTATGTTGTTCGCATGGTTCTGCTACCCCACGTCCATGCCCCATCACTTAATTGCTCAAAGGAGCGGCACACAGCGCCTCCGGCTCCACCCGGAGCTCAGCGACGCAATCCGCCTTGTTAGCAAACACACACAAGGACATCGGAAGGCTTGAATGACTTGTCTGTCGTGAAATGTGACTGGCAGAAAACACACGGGCAATTGCCATTCAGGTGGTCGTGGGGCTGTGTTTCTTACGAAAGAAGTGACCAGCCCTTCCTTTCTACGCGCACCGCCCGGCCATTTCGTGGAACAACTCGTGTGTTCAAATATCCACATTTTAAGTCTTGAAAGGCGGCCATTTTCTGGAAATCACAAAAGAAACACACTTACCTTTGACAATAAATGACGTCAAGGAGAATGTTGAATGGGCAAACGGGTCCTGTTCTTTACGATGAAAATAACAAACAAATTAATAACCGTGTGGTCACTTTCCAAACATGGCTGCGTTACTTGTAAATTCAAACTTGAAAGTATTTTCTTCCCCAGACAAGACATGACAATTTATACGCGAACAACTGACCTATATTTCCATATTGACGTAAACCAGGTGTTGTAGTTGACCATTGTCAAGAACTTAATCAGTCTGTCATCAGATATTATCAGGCTTCGTATTAACAAACACGAAGCAAGGGTCTCGTCTGCTATTAAACCTTGATCCCAACAAAGATCGTATCGGTTCGTTGGTCTCATCAGATACGATCTGATAAGAACCGAAATACGAAGGCAAAATTCCAAAAGGCAGGTTAAAGCCCGTCGCGTGGTGAAAACATTGTGAAGATTTTTGTTTGTTCTCTCGCAATGTACACTCGTAGTTTGATATTAACGTTTTGGCCAAGCGTACTGTCTCCATCTTCAGGGTTTAAGATGGATACGGTACGCTGAACGATCATCAAAGGACCGAAAGGATATCAGCATCATCATATGACTAACACAAAACGTGCCATAACGATCTTGAAAACTGGCGGCCTTCACATTATATCGCAAACTCAATCTTTAAATCGCTGGCGTGAAAAAAAGTGTAAGAAATGTAATAAATTCTCAAGGAAACTTAACTCTCCTCAGAAAACAGCACTTCCAATAATTCCCCAACTCGATCATTAATGCGTAGTCCGACTAATTGCTAGAAATGCTAAGGTCAACACGTTTATTGTTGTCGACAGTGGCTGGTAGATCGTCCGCAGTTAAATTAACTGACATAACGAATGGAACTGACAGGGTCAAGGTTATCAAGATATGCAGTTCTAAATATTTACGATTATGCGAGACGCAGACGTGTCCTCCGCCGAGACAGACCTCACTACGTGACGGCGAATAATATGGGCACAAATGACGAGCGACGGGAAACAGAGGCACACGAAAGCCGTGCCACAGCAAATGAACGAATTCTCATTTGGTTAACAGCAACCTTGGCCGTTCACAGTACACACGTGACGTAAAAGAAGTTTAACTGATACAAGTAGCGATATTCGGTTCGCTGTGAAAACGGGCAGAGAGAAATGACTGGTGGTTGTACAACCGAAACAAGGATCAAACACACGGACTGTCAAAATGCGAAAAAATTAATAAGATGCCTTCTTAAAAACCTACATACAAGTCAACAAATCACAGCTCAACAATAAAGTGTTAATCCACGAACATTTCCCAAGGCACTATCTTGTAAAACAAAACTTGTTTTAAATTAAATTAAAGTTATCTCTTACCCGTCACCAGAAGACAAAGAATTAGGTTTTGTCCAGGGCCATTAGCTGACGACTTCAACATCGATTTCAAAAGTACCACAGTCGAAAGTTTAAACAATAGTGTGCAACGAGATTAGCTTCCCACGTGACCCTACAGTAAGCGCCCAGAATAGGCATCTCCATCAAATGTCTTGATTTTTTCCTCATTTCCCTCACTTGCTACATAAAGCACGCGAAACTCAGCGTCTACTACGGCCCGCTTAAAAAAGAGATGGTTCACTTTTAATAATTCCATAATTAGGGCAAAGCTTCAGAAACATTTTTCGTTCCTCTACTATCCCACACGCACACACAAATGTGAATTTAATTAAAATATAAAACGGCGGTACACAAGTGACTTGCATTTTAAACTTCAAATTTATTGAACTTGGGGTATTTCGGGCCGCATGTAGTAGAAAATTCGAGTACCGAGTCCGGGCGCAAAAAATATCGGAAAGGATATGTAGTAGAAAATTCGAGTACCGAGTCAGACCGCAAAAAATATCGGAAAGGACCACACGCTGCCTGCACCATGTCGACCAACGGTCACACAAGAAAAATGCAGATCACTAAGTTTGCGTTTGCTCTTACCATACGAACAAAACAAATCTGGATGCATAGTAATTCCTTCTGTTACTTAAGCCAAGGAGATCTTGTTTTTCACACATATTTCATAAAATATTACTTCCGGTGACATCTGACATTCGTATGCTCATGCGCAAATATCTGCCGCGATCTGCAATTTCGAATTGGTGTGGTGCCTTGTAGCAATCAATGCCTGAAATAATATCTCCATATTAAAAGAGTCCCGTTGGAGCATTTCCTTCCTTTGAAATAAATTATAATACAACTTAAAATATTAATTTCCCATTTCTAATTTCATGCACTGTTTTTCCTTTCGGACTCATTACCTATAAATATTCCAGCTTCAACCATGTTAACATAGGTAAATACAGGGCAGTTGGGCCGATGCCAACAGCCAATATATAATGGACAAGAAAGCGATGGGTAACACGCATTCGTTGTTTCAGTCATTAAAACCGATCACTGCAACAAATCACTAGCGTAACTCACAAGCAAAAAATTATGTAAATTCTTCGCACAACCTGTACGTAATGCCGAATCACAGTACAAACAAAGACAAGCACAATACGAAATAAAAACACTTCTTACTCACCGACGTATCAGTCAGCCTGAAATGATTCGGCAAGCAGCGTGCACCTTACTGTGTTTATCAAGGTGCGCGTACCAGAACCATTACAATCTTCCAGCACACACCGCAGAACGGGACCGCAAATTACCAACGGAATTGAACTTGCGCATGCGTCGAAGATGGCGTCACTTGTCCATAAAAGTTATTGACCGAGTTTCTTTAGTCAGCAGCAGCGCCATCGGCATACGCGAGTACAACAATATTGAACAAATGAAGTCTTAAATATTCAAAACTTTGCACTTTCCGGTTCCGTATGTTAATGATATGCTAATGAAAGAAATTCTCCCATATATGCTGTCCGTCCAACCAACGTCTTCCTTTCACTTTTGTGATCTTGTAAACGGTTACTTACATCTTACAGGCATTTATCTTCACCTTTCTTCAGTGTAGATGAAAGCTGTACATTCGTCCAAAATGTTGGTAACCATGTGAAAGGCCACACAGTGTCACAACCCTGCAGACCACACTAATAACCATCATGAAATCCCCAGACCTCAGACTGAATCTGCAAATACCTTCTTCCAACAGATTCTGAATTTATCATCTGAAAATACCGCCCAAGAAATTACATTTATGCCACCAAACCTAAAGATGATACGAGTTCAGATCAAACGGATATCATCCACACAACAAAAGTATTTCCTTTGTGCACCTCTTTGAATGAAACAAAAACTTAAACATGGGTCACAACTGCAGATGTGTGTCATATACCCACATTTCAAAACTTGAATCTGAACTTCGTAAGTGTGGCTTCCAGTTTCAAACCACACTTTTATGATTTCCATTTTTGTTTAGTGACCTGTTGAAATCACACTCTTACAGCATCACTCAAATTTGATTAATTTCAAACCGTCTGACAGCCATTTTCTGAAAAATGGCTCATTCTATTGTATTATAAATATTACATAAAACGTTCATATGACCACATCCTATAAATCAGAAGCACTTCTCCATTCAGAATTCAATGATTATATAGTACTATTGACTGACAAAAAAGACTAATTTTTGTTCACATGTCATCAAAATCTGTGAGCAAAAAATCCTCCATGAGGCCAAAATCAGGTATCATGAAAAAAGGAAATGAGAACTGTCCAGTAAAAATCAAATTTGAATTTCACAAAAACTGTTTGGCAAGAGCAATAAAATGTGAACTTTCTCAACTAGAATCAAGATTCTTTTAGGTATTGAGAAAGTTCACGAACAGCTAAAAATTCAGTCTGCATATCTGTAGCCAAAGAAACACACCTACATTCATTTGACAAGCTGGAAGCATTCAACAGCAAAGCTCTGCATACATTACAACACATAAATAAAATAAATCAAGAAAACGTTTTCACAGTATCTTGTTAATCATACAGTGGTCTATGTACATGGTTAAATGAAAATAAATGGCTCTTCATTATTCCTATTATTTAAATTCAATAAATGAGGAAGCACTGTGAAGAGGTATAAGTTACACTACAATAAATAAATAAATAATCTATCAGCAGTGTATTGAGCAGATCTTTTTAAAATGGCTACAATGCATCACAAAGTAGAATTTATATCTCAAATACTTGCAGAGTGCTTGGAACGTACAATGTTGATTCAGCAGAGAAACATGGAGTGGTGTTGCATCATAAACACATTATCACACATTTATTTACTTTCTTTCCACCCCACAAACCTGAGGGACAGATATTTCCACATTTTTACAACTGATCATAACCACAGCACATCATCAAATTGAATATAATTACTGTACACATAACACGATACCTAACTGGTAAGAATTTCTGTAGGCCTATAAAGAGTCCTTCACACCACCTTTACTACAGGAAATATCAAGATCCATCTTTATTTTATTTCATATGCGCACACAATCTCAAATTAGTCCGACCAGATAATGAGAAAATGCAGTACGTTGGACATGCCAAAGCGAAACACATGAACGCGTACACTCTGTTCAACCCACCTACACATTAACACACTTATGTACAGCCATTTTCTCTATTTTGAAGTGTCTTGAATTCTTTACTTCTGTGAAGACAGGAACTCTTGTAACCTTTTCACTGCAAGAACGATGTGTCCTGACCACCAGGACGCAACAAAACCTTCATTCAAGAGTGAAAAGAATTATAAGATGCAGCACCACCCAACATTACATAGCATTTATAACTTAAACAAATACTGAATTTATAAATTTAGAATCCCTAAGCAGAAAACTTTCCTATCATTTTTAAATATGAAAGCTTTCATATGTAACCATTAAATAAACTGAGAAACCAGTTTCAAATACGTGCACGCTATTTTGCAAATGAAAGAATAACATAAGGCACATACAATACTTTTACATTGTATCAGATTAGCATCATCCAACATCCCCCAAAAAATTAATTTTAGTTACTCTCAGTCTCAAATGTATTTCTTCTAGCATTGTTTGTTTCATATAGGTCAATGGTCAAATGTACTACTATCCTAAAACTAATAATAGGCCATTTTCTCTGCTTTCACACTTTGTGAAGAATTTTATAATTTAAAAAGTGGCAAGTATTTTATTCAAAGTGACAGGGAAAAAATGCATGTAACAAACACCATGTTTCCATGAACAGTCAAGTCACTTTGCATTATCTAAATTTCTCCCAATGACATCGTGATATCAACACACGTACAAAGCACTCGTCTTCACCACCAATAACACTTGTTGCTGCATGCAGCAGTGAAAGATGTAACTCGTAATTACTAGGCCAGTGTTTCACAGTGGGTAATGCTCATGAAAAAGGAAGGTTTGCTGTAATTTCAGAATATGAGATGAAGAAATGGGCACTCACCTATGAAACGTTTCAGGCCACTATGGCATAAGAACCACGGTTCACAGACCAAAGTACTAACCACACTACTGTTGTTTATACCTGACAAAATAATTTACAAGTTGTTACAAATTCTTTGATGCCATTGCCAAAACTTTAATCCGCACACCAAGGGCTGTACCTAATGACACGTGGTCATGCCATGTTCAGGCTTAATTTATATAGTAACAAGACGAACATCAATATTAAACCCACGCCTGTCTGCACAAACGTTTTTCTGTTGGAACAGGAAAGGAAAAGCCAAATGCCTTTACTACCCTTAAAACCGTTAATGTCAAATCACCAGAAGCGGTTAAATTTCATATCAGTACTGCACAGTATTTACTGGACTTTCATCTGTAACCACGTAATTAAATACGCACAGCGGCTGGCATGTCGTCACCACATTCACTGTCCAATAATTTTGCCTTCTGACTAGGAATAAAGTTAAAAGTTATTTAATAATGGTGTATCAACTGCAGACATTATGTAGTGTCAAATGACATATGAAAATGACCGTGAAGGAGAGAATAAGAAGAAAAAGTTGTCACATATTTGAAGACAAGATCACAACATTTTCATAAACACGGCAAAGAACATAACAAGAAATGCCAGATGAAAACACTAAGAACTACAATAGAGAATCAAAGTGGGAACTTCTTGAAGGATTCATACATCTAGAGCATGCTTTCTGCCTAACTTCAACAAGTCGAATAAAGGAAATATTTGGAGGTTGTATTCGCATTTTGAAGACACCTTTCAAACAAGCCCGAGGTTAATTTTGTGGCATTTCAAAAAATACCTGTGCTCAGACTATTGATAATTTGTTGCTTTTGGTAACCTAACCTAAAACTGACAGTCAATATAAAAGTGGAAGTACCCAATCACAAAAGTACTAAACCTAATTACTGCTAATATACACACACTTGTAGCTTTGAGGAAAATAAATATAATATATTAATTTCAAAATATACAAATAAAACAATAGATTAAAAAGGTTAAAAGTCTGGGATGGAAATATTACATAACAGAGAACTTTGACAATTTAAACAGCCCATTCAGCGTTGTTCGATTAGCAAAATTAAGGTGGCTGAGATGACAGGGCAAACACGAAAGGCACAGAGAATTTTTTGGACAAAATCAGGCACTTGGAAGACTGAGGATCTCAGAGAAACTCTAGGAGTTATGAGGCTTTGGACTGGCAGAATCTCAGGGTTACCAGCAAGTTGGCACGTTCACAAATTGCTAAGACAAAACATGCTTCCAAAGTACATACAAGAAAGAATAATCAATCTTGTGGGCATTATTCCTGCATTTACATAACAAAATATAATAATATAGTTAATATATCTACAAAGTGACTTCAGTGAACATGGAAACTTAGTTATACGGCTATAATCGATGTGCACCACAAGCAAACGTCAAAAAATCGGTGTCACCAATTTACAGAAATTGTATTTTATTTTTGTAAGAGACTCAATTTACAACTTAACCAGCACAAGCGAATTATAAAAAAAATCTTGAACCTTTTCCACTTATAAGCCGATACTTCAGATGCAAAGACTCTGCTCCAAAATCAAAATACGAACACCGCCTTCTGCTCTCAGTTGCCATCTGTTAATGCAAATCTAAATTCCATTACATTAGATCATTTATTTAGGAATAATTTATCTGCTACAATGGAGAGCAGACAAATGCAACTGATTCTGGAGTGAGAATTTTACTAGTTCATCATTCTAGTTTCCTGTATCATAAATACACTAACCGCAAATCAAAGAATATGTCTAGAATAACCGTAATAAAGTTATAAAGTATGGTATTGTAAGTACTTGGCATTCTCATCTATCACACTCTCCGATAACTTACTTGGCCAGTGCTCTATGAACATGGACCTGTATTGCAACAAAACATTTTTTACGTATAATCTGCGTGAAACAAAAAGCCACGTGCGCAATTATTTTAAATGTTCCGCCGAAGAACTTCCTGCACTATCCGTGAGAAGTACAGAGTTCCATTCCTCTTTCACACTCTTTATTCTTGATTCCTACACAACTGCATTTAGGAATCATAAAATGAACGCAAGCAACCACCACGTTTACATAGCAAAATCGCACGTGGCATTTCACGGCTCCATCTTCTTTACGCGTTAGTCCGTTACGGAGATTTGAGCAAAACCAATCAATGCTTTATCATCAGGAACTTCATTGCTTGCATAACCAGAGTTCTGAAATACATAACAAAACTAACTTACAGTAACAATACAACATATTCGTGCGATTCTAAGGTGACACTTCTTCACAATTTTTATCTTCTTAAACACTGCTAATAAATCAAAAATGCTCTCTGAGAATTTGTTCTGAACGTACATTGACTACAGCAATTAGAACCATGCAGATAGGACACAAGATACAAGAATATACAGAACACTTGATACATCATTTGCAAATGATGGACACTGATCACCTGAACACATTTTCCATTACCCACTCGCTACAAAAACTTGAAGATGAAGAAAAAGGTAATTAGGCAAATAAAGAAATATGCCAAAACAGATCATCACAGCATCAAAACTGTAAAGCTAATGACCAAACATCTGTACGGATAGTTTCCTGAATATAACATGAAATTTTCAGGAACCAAATATTACATTCCCAAGCTCTACTAAGTAACAAACTCTGCAAAACAGAATATTCTGACGTCGCTGTACATGACAAATTTACGTGCAAAGAAGGAAGTCTTTGTAAAATCAAGTTTATAAATCAAATGCGCCATAAGACAGAGTGCAGCAAATTTTAATTTTGTGGCAAAGTTTGGATATGGAAAGGACATCAAGGCATAGGAATGGGGAACATTAAAAATTATTGTGAGGAAACTTGTTTTGGTGATGTGAATATAGTTCAATGGCACCTGCAACGATTCTAATCCTGCTACCACTGCACTGCAACATTTACGTGTCAGTGATATATCTGAATGAAGAGAGACTGGATTCAGTTCTGCTCCTTCATGCAGCTATCAGGTGATGCAACTGTAATAACGAATAATACAGATGTTGGTACAAGACCCAAGCAAACATTGCAGTGAACATAATTCCAGGCCTCTCTTATCAGTAACGTATTACACTCTACTGACACACGCCTTATCAGCCAAATTAATTTCCCCGACTTCAAATGACATATTTTAAAATTCAGCAGTTCTATCTCGCAGTTTTCGTAAATGTAGCAACTAAAGGTAATAAAAGGAACGTGTGGTATCCTTATTTGTGTTGCACGTACTTTCTGTCTGAGCTGATATAATACACATCATGATGTATTTTTAGTGCTTCTACGATTACTGGCGCTAAAGCAGAAAAAACTGCAGAACAGGTTAAGAAAATGTTGGGTAACAATTTCAGGATCATTCTTCACCACGAACAAACATGAAGTGAAAATAATTCTGAACTCAGACGTTGCAAAATAATCCATACAGCTCCATTCTGTCTATGAAACCCAAGTCATAATGCAAACAGCACTGTTCCAATTCTATGACGTTGCTTACGCACATCAAAATAAGCATCATTTTAAGCTAAATCAAGTCATCGAATTTCTACAGACAAAACAGCAATGAGACGCTCACCAGGGGGAAGGTGACAGTGCGGAGCTGTCCTCCACTGTCTATAAGTTTCTGAAGGTTTGCAGCAATGACAACAATATCCCTGCCATCCACCAGGCCTGCCCCAACCAGCTCAGACGCTATGCCCTCGGCCGAATCTTTCCCCACGGCAAATTCAAACCGAATGTCGTTCAACTCTCGTTTTGGATTCCTGAAATACAAATATTGTGAACTGTAAATGCATTTATCTAGTTCAACAGAATTGTTACAGCGGATCATACAACTTTTTCAGGCAGACTCAATTTAATATTTGGAATCTCTTACTCTGCTACAATGTTGGAAGGACTTTGTCAACTTTAAAATTTGGAGACGTGTACTGAAACTGCAAAATGTTAACATTATCTTACTTTTAAGGGTTGATACAAGAAAGAATTATTACCAATCAGGACATCAATTTTTATCTATGTATTTGTTGCAAACAGACGAGGTTACAGTCAGGGTTATTGGACTTTGTCCATCGTCCAAGGTTAATATCCACACGACGTTTCAAAAACAGGATCCATTCTCGTCATCAAGCGTATGGGGCAGGGGAACTTACTCTGTTGGTTCCAATAAAAAGAACTAGTCCAGGATGCCCTACATATGAAGCCCGACCGGTCAGCTACGACTCACCTCATTCTGAGTACAAGATTCACTGGAGGAACTGCATGGGCCTGCATCCGACACAAGTTATCCTGTGCGACATCGGGCCCCATAATTTCACTTGTTCTCGTGCCTGTCCCAGTACCAGCACTGCCCTCTGTGTCAGTCAAGTCCTTCTCACTGCCTGACGATCCAACTGTTTCAATGTTATTCATTGGCTTCTCCCCACACTACGAACAACATTTTAAAACCCTCAATAATGACTAAGAAGAAGAAGGGGAAGAGGAAAAATATTACGGTAAACAAACGTAACAAGATGTAAAAGAAGAAAAATAAGATAATGAAGAACAAAAGAAGAACAAATGGTGAACAGGAAGCAGTTAAAAACAGCAAAGAATTTTCTTTTATACATTTCCTCCACACAAAGTGTGACCTTTATTTTGATGTAAAGAATAATTCTTCAGAAAACTGATATTAATTTCTTATTCTGAACTACTCAGCCTGATAGACGAACATTATGAAGGTCAAAGTTGGTACCTATGACATGGTATTTGGAATGGCTGGTCTACTGATTTCCCACCTCACTTTATATTGCAGTTCACAGGAACTTGACACACATCCACTGAACGTGCTCTTTTCAGCGCCATCACAGAACATGAGAAAGGGAACAGGAAATAGCAGAAAATACAAATGTTCAAGTGTCCAAGCCTGAATTTTGTCATGTTGAATAAACAAGAAGCACCTTTTCATAACAACTTTTCTACAACATGAGGGAACAAAGTTCAAACACCATTTAATCTCTCTCTCAAACTCGCAGGATTTTGTGCTAAAGCTCTGCGTTCCACAACAACAAATAAATAACCGCTGACAGGGCAGGAAACAGTCTCTATCAGGATTTTGGCGCATCTCACCTCATCATCTGAAGATTCACCACCTTCTTCCTCTGAGGACCAAACCCACTCGCCTGTTACGGTTCGATGAAGTCGCCCTGATGTTCCAGGCTGCCGTTTTGACGCCTGAGAAACACGGAATAGGAATATCTTAAGAGTTTGCTTTGGTAGCCTCTGTAGAAAGAGTAAGCACATTTCTTACATGGAAAGTATTCTCTATGCAAATGCAACTTCATACAATTAAAATGAATTAATATGGAGGTTCCACATTTGACAATTTCACGATCCAATTAAAATTAGTCTTTTCTCAGACATACATACTTTTTGTACTCTTGTTTCTAAGCTTGGGCCAATGGCTACTAATGTCTGCTGAAGATATTTTCTGTCCTTCGCTTTCTTGAAGAAGGGGTGTTTCAAGAGCTCGGTTGCTGTCGGCCTAAAACAAAGCCAAGCGCGTCAAAATAAACTGCGTGACTGTTCACTTCTAGTACCAGTGCAACAACAAGCAGGGATTTGGGGCCCATTAAACATTTACGCAAAAATACACACAACATTCCAGAACTGCATCATTGAGGCCAGCGAAGGGAAATGTGGCTGGTGGACAAAATGTTTAGAGTTTCTTAAAATGATATCAAATAAGCGAGACCAAGTCACACACAAAAAATTAAAAATGATTCTAACGGCATTCATAAAACTGTTCTCAAGATCTCTCTGCACCAATCTTATCACATAAATGCACGATAAATTACGCGGATCACGAGGGTTCGATCACTCGTACCCACCTTTTTGACGGGTCTTTCTGAAGGCAGTCGACAATCATCTTGCGAAACGTTTTGCCATACGCTTTGTACTGATCCTTTTCTTCCGCTCCAGTATCAAGTGTCGGAGGGTCATTCTGAAGTGTTAACATCAGGACTTTCATAGGTGGGTACTTATGGTAGGGGGCGGTTCCTGTTGCCATTTCAATCGCTGTGATTCCAAATGACCAAATGTCTGCTTTGAAGTCGTAGCCATGGTCCTACAGAAGAAAGTGGCACACTTACAGAATAGATGAAATAGAGAGGGCACAACTCGTACAACGGAGGGACGTGCCAAAATTACTTTTTTGATGGAAACAGCTCAAACGTGGCAAAAACACGCAAAAGTTCTAGTCGCATTATGCGACTGTCCCCCCAGAAAGATTACACAATTCTCACCGTGTTGGCACTGGTTTCTGTCTTGAATGAGGATGTGCTAGTCCGTAAACATTTTTACTCTGATCAAGTTTTGAAACCACACCAGAAATACCAAGAACAGTCTTGCCCTTACACTCCGCAAATCATTTTTGGGGAAGATCCCTGAACAGTTTCCAGCAGTGGATGAATATCCACAATGCAATTACATCTTTCTCGCTTCTTGAAACCGTACTATGCATTATTACCAACCTCACAGCCATCCTTCGGTTGCGGCAATCACGTCTTCATTCTTTAATTATGCTGTATCAGCTACAGGAAAGAATGAAGTAAGTAGTCACAATTTATGTGAAGGCTTCATCTGAGCTTTAAACTGGAGTGGCTGAGTAAAACCACGATAGACTCGATCAAACACCTGGCAAAGATTCAAACTGATGAGGCAGGACAAGCCCCAGAATGGCCGCGCCCACGTAGTGCACCCAGTCTCGAACCCAGGTCTGCAAGACAAACTTGCAACCACCATCAGTTTGTACAAACCTCAGTGAACTGAAACTAACTTGTTCCATAACTTCTGGCGCCATCCAACACGGCGTTCCAACAAACGTGTGCCGCACTTTTTGTCTGGAAAGGTCCCTGCCTGTAGCCAGCCATGCCGACACCCCAAAGTCTGCAATCTGCACAGTTCCATCCTCTCCCAGTAGAATGTTGCCGGCTTTAATGTCTCTGAAACACAATGCGGCACGCTCACTGCATGTGTCGGCTTTCAAGCATCCGCATAATCACAGCTGCACACCCGTATTCATTCAAGCGCCAGAAATGGGCAAACCAATCAGAAGTGACTTCAACATTGATCAACAGATAAAAAAATATTTACAAACTTGCTGATGCACTATGTAATCCGTTAGCTGTAACCTTGACAGATTTTCTAAGGCCCAAAATCTGGTATTCTGTTTGTCAATGTAACCAACCATCACATTATTGTGCTCTCTGAGTATCCTCGACTAACCTCCGACACTTTCTCTGGGACTTCCACTGTTACACCAATAACTTATTCCACATGACACACGCGTACGTCTGTACCACACCGCACTGAGCCAGAATTACATTTTCTTGTATTTGCTAAATATTAAACAGAAATAAAACTGTTCCAGAATTTATTTTACATACTAAATCTTTTATATGAAAAGTTTAAGAAAGAAAAATCCAACAAGTTTGATTTAAAATTCATAAAAATAGGTGGTGGTGGTGGTGGGTGGGGGGAAACTAAACTGATTTGAACAAAATTAAATTCACCCGACAACTTTTATAATAGAATTCCCCTCACCAAAACTGTTCTGCAGTTTCAAATATGAAGCAAGCAGACAGATGGACACATGAATTCACTTTGTGCAAAGAATATAATACAATTTCAATTTACAGAAACTAATAAGACTGGTCTCCCCTTGGTGGACTAGCGGTCGGTGTGCTCATCACTGGACCCAAGGTTCATGGGTTCACACCCGACCAAGGTCGATGGATTTTTAAGGGTGATAAAAATCCGTAGCACAACTTCCTTCGGAAAGGAAGTAAAGCCGGCGGTCCCACGTTGTAGATTTACGGCACGTAAAGGAACCTTATGAGCACGAACGACATGTTTCATAAGCAGAATTCGGCGGACATTTCTCACTCAAGTCTCTCCTGATTCACTACTAGATGGCTCTGGCAGTCAAATCAGGATTGAGTAGAAATTGTGCAGTCGGTGGACTGGTCACTCACTGCTCACAAATGCGCTTCAAAGACTAGGAAACTTCAGACCCACAATCGGGTCGTAGAGCCAAGTAAGAAGAAGAATAAGACTGATCATGAGAATGAAGTTCTGTAATCTTATTTTGCGCATAATTCTTCTTCGTACAAATTTGTGTTTGGCTCATTACCTGTGAATTTGCCCATTGCTGTGAAAGTACTCCAGCCCTTTTAGTACTTCCTTGAGAACAGTGGCGATGGTAGACTCATCAAAGACGCCATGATGACAATTGGAGGAACGCGTTTTGTGCTTAATTATGTCCAGCAGTGAGCCTCCCTCCAACAAACGAAGCACTAACCACAGTTCTTCACGAACCACAAAGCTTGTATAGTACGTCACAACATTTTCATGGTTGCATGAAGACATGGCCTGAATTTCCTTCTGCAAAAACGAGAAAATTGTTCGGTTACATTACTCTCCATCGTGAATGTGGACGGAAGCAGCCATGGTCTATTTTAAGGTACTATTAGAGCCTCGAAGGACTGAAAAAAAAACATCGGTCAGGACGGCCAGTCTTGACACCAACGTTCGAGTCAAAGCCCTCGACAGCTCGGCTTCGATGTTTGGTAGAAAGAAACTGCATGAATGAAGAATGGCGTAGCTTCCACTCCAAACACACTTCCAGTACTGAAAAATTATTAAATTTGCACTGTAATGTTCACACTATCACCATGCTGATGCTTTTAAAGTGCAAATGGTGCACAAAATTTGCAGATATTTACTTGTGTATTTTAAGCTTTCAACCTATCAAACTTCACATGAGAAGAAATATATTATGAAGCCATTCTGTTGTGGTTGTTGGGTTCAGGAATACAATTCTTAAAATGCAATATCCTAAAATATATACTGTACCTAAGTAAACAATACATTTACCAATAATTCATCCATGCTCGTGTTCCATTTTTCGAGATTTATTCGTTTGATGGCACATTTTTCTTGTCTTGGTTTACAGAAGGCACCATGGACCACTGCAGTTGCACCAACACCTGGAACAAAATTTGTGGACATTTGAAACTGATATGCCAACGCTTATACGTTTGCCCATCATCTTCATGTTCTCTGAATTCTTGCATGTCACACATTAGTATGCTGTGAGCGTAGTACTTCTGATCGTTAAGAGATGTGCCGGCATGCCATGGAACGTGCTTATCATGCACTGCCGTTTAATATACAAACTCCTGATCACACTAGAGCTTTTACAAATATTACCGTCAGAAACACTCGAAAATATGGACGGACATTGTTTCGTAAAAGTCAATTTCTTCCCTTGGTATCTCCGATTCGCCACTCTTCACTCCATTCACTCCAGACACATGTTTTTCGGAACATTAGTAACACTTCGTGTGACGTACGATTTGTGTCAAGTTAGCAAATAATTAAACAACAATATTATCAGATGCAAACAAATGCGGCAGTAAAATAAAGTGACATTAATCATACTACATGTGATACTGATATCATACTAACCAATTACTTCCTTCAGTTCATAATCATCTTTCGTGTTGGGCCAACCTTGTGGTGTTACGCCTGCACCAGTTACCGCCATCTTGTGGGCAAGAATGTCACCAATACTCGCTCTAGCGGACTGGGAGCAAGTCGTAAACGGCGGAAGATCGGCATTGGATGATTTTCGCCGAAATATTCCTGGAGATCCAGGGGGCATTAGACCTGGTGATATTTTCCTGAAATTACAGTGTACGATACACGGTATTAAGACAACTGAAAAATAAGAAAACGCTTACTGTTAAGTCTTATATTAAAAGTAAACAGAGATAACAAAGAAATGTCGACCTTATGTTCCCTTACCGTAAGTGCTATTTTTGCGAGACGTTGCAAAGTGGACGTATGCAATGTCATGGTCATGGAAGATGCTCCATCAGGGACATGAAATTTCGCTCTGTGAATACTGCGATGAATAAAGTCAAAACTCTTCACAAAGACTCCAGCTTGCGTCGAATGAACAAAATCTAGGGCCGCTAGCGGTCTTTCTTGTATAACTGTTTACTTTAGGCAGCGACAGACAACACATGTTTCTATGCAACCTATCTCTTTCGGAGGACAATAAAACTCGTCTGTCTGTAGATCTGTTCAAACTCCTAACAGCTATCAACAAAACATGAATACTTTTTCGAGAATACGGGGGATTGAGTGGACATTTGACAAGGTGAATGTTAAAATAGGGGCATGTTGATTTTTCTAATGAAGGGCGAAGAACCCAGTTTCATCCTACTGTAGACATCTGATTGCAACACAACGCGGCAAGAAGTCCACTTCTACAGAATATTTTATCTGATATCATCGGCTCTACAGACCTACATAAATCGCAAAAAGTTTTAAGGCAAATAAAACATCGATGTATTTATATGTACTGAAATTTACAGCAGAACAATTCGGGTTTTCAAACACAATCTAGAAAAGCAATGGACCAGCTCTGATGTACCTGAGTAGACATGGTCGCTGTTTGTGGAGGCCTCACGTAAAAAGGGTAGGATGCCTCCTATCAACAACACAACAGAAACAACCTCAGCAGGGACCGAGCCAAATCGTGAACGCCACTTCTAAGCTTAGTATAAGCGGTGGCCTATTAGATGCAGGGAGAAACAGTTTTTCTTTCCACGCTGGTACAATGCCCGATCTGTTGCAGAGCGCTCACGACGCAAAAGTCGTTTTTACCATCTCATGCATCTTGGTTTGTAAAACACGTAACAAATAACACGTGCTTGTGAAAGTGCCACGAGGTAAAAACATATTCCGAGTGTATCATTTCAGATTTATAGCAGGAACCCTTTCCGAGCTCCAATTAAAGTTTCTGCTCGTAACTCCGACGTGCAAGATCCAGGTGAAGGCTTGCGACGGGCTGATCGACCACCCAGGAAATCCTACGGCTTCTCTCAAAAGATTCATTACCCCACAATTAATTCCGAATCAAAGTCGCAAAACGAGTTACCGCAAGAAACGCACAGCCAGTGCGGCTGTGCGAAGTTGCAGGCGGAAGGGATGAAAGGCGGTTCGTGGGGAGAGACAAAGAAGCTAAAGCAGACGAAAGCGTGCAGCACAGAATAGGGCAAGAGACGTAGAACAATGAAAACAGATGCCGAACGTATGGAACGCTGTCTCAAACACTTGCTTCTGTGGAACGCCTAAACCGCTACGTGTCGCCACTAGTGTGGGACATTCCCTGTCCTCAGCCACCCCACACCTCACCTCTGAAACCGTTTTAATATTATCCTCCGACTGAACGCTTAGCATGAAAAAGTATCAGGTTGCCGCCTGCGGTATTTTGGGTTTTGTCCGCCGTGCAGTAATGTAGCCCGAAGGTGGTTAACATCCTTTCATCCCCATCTTCAGGGTAACCATTTACAGGACTACAAGGCATCACGACCCAGAAGACATCTTCAACTCCGTGAGAATTACAAATCTCAGAAGAATAAGTTTCCACAACCAAAATTTTGTGAACATTTTTCACCACATCCAACTTCTAATATCTACCGTTACCTGCCAACCCCCCCACCCAAGTGTATGAGTTAGTGCACTCACGTAAATCTATTTATCTACTCTTTTGCTTATTACCGAAATCAGTTTCGCGTGCCCAGCTAAACTAACTTTAATTTTATACTTCCGTTTGTACACCCCTGCTGTGCGGCGAAGAACCATTACGATATACACTAATTATTTTCCCATCTCGGCAAGGTAAAAGAGGTTCGTTTTAATTTCAAATGACTTCTGCCAAAGATAGACACAAAGCCTGAAACAAAAACAAAAACCTCTATGTTCACATTAATCTGCGTTTAATTTAAGTGATGGATGTGGCTCGTCGTGGCAGTCACGACGCTTGGCTTTGCAGACGCCCCGACCCGCGACGTAAGCCGCGTCTATTCCAGAATGTCTTCACTTCAAGTCGTGAACACACGGATTTATTTATTTCTGAAAACTGGGAACTGAGCCATGACGGCGGAGGTGCAACTTGAAATCTGCGGGCCCCCGCGCGGGAAATGTTGCTCTCTAACCCCTTCCCCCCCCCCCAAAAAAAAAAAACGCAGCCACGTGTAGCAGAAACGTTCCTGTGCGTTCTCTGACCATTAAATGAACACGCGTGGGAGAAATGGTTGCATGAAGATAATAAACGGGGTTAAATTAGGGGTGTAGAAGAGAACTTGTTGGACCACATTAATGCTCCCTAACGTCAATAGCACAATAATTAAAAATCCGTCCGCCATCTAAAACTGGTTCCTTAATAATTTCCGGAAAAAACTTCATTCGCCAGTATTACGTGGCACGCGGTGGATGGTGCCAAGCGACGTCACGAAGTTAAAACCGTAGAATGCATTGGTCCACAATCGGACCATCAAACGCGACTTGTTTGTTGTCTTGACTACGAGCGTGGGATTCACAAACTTAATTGTGCGAGATCACGCATCTTCGCAAAAAAACGAAACGAAAAATTAATCAACTAATCGATCAAGTATGTGAACACAGATCTGGCAATCAGAACGAAAAATCACACCCGCGTTAAATCTCTCACGACAACAATTTCACTGCCCCCCCCCCCCCCCCCCCCCGGGGTCCTCATCGTCACAACATCGACTTATTTTCAAATGCATGTTCAGCCTCATCCAGACCAGGGCGACCTGTGAACTCGCGGTAAACGGGATCGGTCAAGCTGCTGAGCAACTTACCGACCGACCTCGACCTCTTCAACGAGTGAACGAGGAGAATGCATTGGTCTCTGAAGTCTAAAATGCTGCTATAAGTGGCACAATTACAAGTTCGTCCAACAAATTCTCACAATTTCTTTCGGAAAACAACGAAACTAAATCGGGAGCCAGAGCGCGAAGCCACGCCCCCCCCCAAACATTTCCGTAAAATCCATTTTAATATTATCCTTACATATACTTATGTGTCTTGCAAGTGATCCTTTTCCAAGAGGATTCCCACCAAACGCCTTGAGCAGATGAATATATTTGTTACGTGGTGAAAAACGGAACTAGCGACATCTCTATTCTACTTATTGGCCGGACGCAGACATCAGCGCTCTTGTGCAGATAAACCACTGGCCTTTGACTGAGTCTGATGCGTCTTTGGCGAATTCTTCGCCAACTCTGGAGCATAATTTGTTTCACTGAACTATCCGGGCTGCGTCTTCATGCAGACGGAATTAAACAGCGCGTGTGTTGCATTTTCTAGATGCTATCTCACGCAACCTCGCCTGTCATCGTAAACCAGTTAAGGCGCATTGTGCCTTGCCGGGAATCGGCAACTTCAGGCACCAGAAGTAATTGTGTCGGGAGGAAATCGAATTTTTGCGACGACGTCTGTCTTCTAGGACGTTGCGCCATACAGCAGTTTACTGACGTTTTAGAGGTGCTTACTGCCTCCATCTTCATCTTCAGGGCGACCTGGTGACGGAGGCAGATCTGGACAAGAGCCTTGGTGACAGGTGCGTCGAATCGCTTTGACCTTAGAGCACTTTAGTTCGTCGTCGGGACGGGCTAAATTCGTTATGCAACCACGGAACGGATCGTCCTGTCATAGACACGCGGCGCGAGGCGAATCGGACCTTCTCTTGACGTCACAACACTGAGTCTGTGACGAGCGCCTCGGCCATTTCTTTCAAGTTCCTTCTTCGGATTCCAAATGAAATGTTTAATGTTAACTCTCCAATTGACGTGGAAACAGAAACCACACTCCAGCGTCGCGAGCGGAAGTCAAAAGCCGTCAATTCCTCGTCCTCAGAACAAATTTCTTTACATGTACGACGCTCGTGGCTTTGTTACAAGCCAATAAATCATGTACAGGCAATTTGCGTTCGCCCGCTCGCAGTATTTTCCTTGTAATCGTACAAAAAGCCGAAGGAGATAAAAGATTCTTGTTCCGTGGAAGAGCGACTGTCATATTCTAGAGGAGAAACTTGTGATTTTAATATCAGGCCTAACTAGATTAAGTTACAACCAACAAACACTCATACGAGTACAAATAAAGATAATTGTTATCTGTAAATGCCTTAACGAGAAACGCACTCAAATTTCCGAAATTATTGAATATCAGCCGCGTGTGTTTGATGTGGCTTAAGGTAAAATGCCACAGAACATTCTTTATTAAACAGGCTTTGATAATTTAAACCCTTGAATAAACGTTCTTCCTGTGTATCGCGAATTGTAGGTGGTCACTAAAGGCCCTAGTTAATCCTGTTTGGTTTTGTGTCACTCACACCTTCATTTCCATTATGATCTGAGTGACACAAATTTTAATCAAAACCAGCCACAATTTGCTTTTTTCATATAGACGAACCGGGCAGACAGAATGCGTCACGGGAAGCACAGCTCGCGGGATTATCCCCACTGAGATTCCCGCCTCTTCCCTTCTCTACGATCCACATCATCCCTTTTTGCAATATAAAACAGACGATTCCGAACACCAACCCGCCACAAGTTAAGGTTTTTTTCAACAAGAACCAGAACTACTGACGACAAATTCAATCGAAATGGCGCTGATTGTAAGTCAACACCAGGTAAGACGAAAGTTGTTCATAACAGCACCCGACTGTCACGCTGTCTAGAATCTTTGTTGTGCTAAATATCGTCAGAATTTGGGGCAAATCGCCGCGCCACAACACGGTAAGGCAGATAGTCTACCCACAGATAAGTTCGGGCGTTTCTTTGTACATGGGAAAGCGACGTTTGAAATTTAACGAAGCGCAATTTTCGAACGTTTGCACATTTCTTATAAAATATATTAAGATGGTGTTGCGAGTAACGTGAAATGGAGAATTTACCGCTCGCTGTGCACGAGAGTACAGTTTCGTAGCCTCTTTCAACTGATATCACAGGTTACTGACCCGCGTCTGCTCTCAAAAACGAGTAGTGTTAAACTGCACAACGAACAGGAGTTTGAAAGTGTTAAACGAGTTACCCAAAACACACTCACACACAGAAGAACAACATCCAGCCCCAGACAAATCTCTAATTCAACAACAACAACAACAACAATAATACAACAAATTTCAGATGCCCCACTATAATATTTACATCAGAAATAAATGAGACGTGAAATAGCTAAGGACGATTCAACATGCACTTACTAAATATTGAATTTATTTGCTTGTTTCATGGCGTAATACTTTCAGCACGCGGCAGAACGCGCATTACAGACATACATGGAATCATTGATACATATAAACCATGAATTTGTTTCTCTTTAGACGTAATCTGCATATCCACAAATGATTTCGTTCGCCCGCGCATTGATATCATTACACACGCCCTCTACAACGCACAATGAAAGACAGAAGCCCGTCTAAATATTATTTAAGAATTCAGTCCGTACCGCGAAGAAAACAGAACACTTCACCATTACAAAGATCAACTGATGTTCAAGGAAGTAATCGCTGTTTGCAGTGAGAATCATACTAAATACATAAGTACACTTTGTGACAAAAATGCAGACTTAGTGGATATTAAAACAGGTGGTACATATGGTTACCACTGTGATTTAAAGGGCTTTAAGATGCTCCATACGTGGAGATGTTGGACTACAGATCCACATTGACGCGGCTAGTCGCCTGAGAAGATTTTATTGCATTTACTCGTCGTGAAAGCTTCAAGTCATATAAAGTACATACACGCGTTACCCATGCACGAAACCCCGAACACGACCGATTCTGACTAATTGTGGTAGATTCGCGTAAAACTCCGGGAGTTTCGTGTGCGACGCAGAGTGGACCGCGTACCGACGCGAAGTCGCGGATGAAGTCCGAGTGTGACGCGGCGAAAAACACGGTGAGTTGTCTGCGAATTTGCATTTACAGTAAAACGATAAGCCGGGGCCCTCAATGACCCATCCGCACAGGAATTCCTCGCCAACCGCGGGGGTTAGGTTTCTGGAAAAAAAGAACCGCGCTTTGCGAGACCAAGGCATTATGGGGAACTACGACATAGGGGAACTTCGGCCGCTGTTAACACTTATCAAACCGAACACGGATCGCGTTCAGTAAAATTCTTACATGAAACTCAGAAATGTCACGAAAAGACGCAACTTAATTGTAATGCAGAAGTTAGAAAATTGTTTCGGAGGCCTTTACAGTCTTGCCCTTAGTTGTGCGGAAGCAGCTAATTACTTCCTCGTACACACAAAATAAAAACCGCCGACACATGAAACCACACGCCGCGCCTGACAAAACACATTCGATACACTGAAAATTGCTTTGAAACCAAAGCTGGGAAACAGCTTTGCTTTAACGACGCAACAGAATACTCGAGTGGCTTTGCGGTTGTCCGAAGTGCGCCTATTCTCGGCTCTCTCTGACTGCCCTGCGGTAAGCAGTCACCAAAACGCGGAAACCAACCCCGTCGATCAACCCTCTGTCTAGGGCTGCTTCAGTCAATCTGCGAGGAGATATTTCCATGGCAACGTATAGAAATGATTTCACTTGGAAACAAAGATTTTTCGCTTTAAAGTCGAGAGATGACTCGCGGTGTCCACGGTTCGATTCTAAGCCTGCCAGTGCGTTCCACTTCAGCCAACAAAGAGATGAGTTACCTGAGGATGGACATGGCGAAGCCGCCGATGGTCAGCGCACCTTCCTTATCGCCCGCCGTTATCACTGTGAGCAGCGTAGACACGCGGGTCTGTCACGTGCCTTCTAGGCCACGGAGGGCGTGAATGGGAGGGGAGGACAACGTGAAGTTAGACAGCAAAGAAACGGGCCGCGCCTTGGATTAATCTGAGGTGCTTACTGCCTCCATCATCGGGGCGATCGCCGTGAACAAACCTCTGGAACGATTTTCAACGTTTGCCAGGCTACACGGAGCAACATACCGGAAGACAAGCCGAATTTAGTGTTGTACTACGCACGTACATACCGAAACGAGTCTTGGGACTCGTTATCCCGTTACGGAGGGGCCAATCTTTCTAGAGGCGCTTACCCCCCTGCGCTGGACCTGATAAGATCGTTTTAGCCGTGTTATCTGCCCGTCTCTCAGTACGAAATTGCGTGGCAACCTGAGAGCGGCCGAAGGGTTTCTCGTGAAAATTAACACCGCGGAGTTTTACTAAAATCTGTAGCAGACACTTTACCAGTTTTGGTAAAAATCGGACAACAACAACAACTGCGCGTGTTTCTGCGCTCCGGAGTGGTTGGGTGGGCAGGTCACAGAGGTCGAAAAGTGACGGGCTTCATTTCAGAACTTGTTATCTGTCGCGTGATTATGAAACACTAACAATAACCTTGTACGGGGAATATATTGCGCTGTAAGCCCACATCAGACGATAAACCCTTACGAGTACGTGAAGTGTGATGGCAGTCCAGGTCAAGGGTCATTGTTATCTGTCGCGTGATTATGAAACATTAACAATAACCTTGTACGGGGAATATACTGCGCTGTAAGCCCACATACGAGTACGTGAAGTGCGATGGCAGTCCAGGTCAAGGGTCGAACACAGAAACATTAATGCGTGCAAGTTGAATAATCACAGCAAAGCAAACACCAAACTTCCACTGCATATCGAAGAAAGTTTGGCGAGACAGGAGGAAAGAGGAATGAAAGGAGAAACATGCAATGAGATACGACGAAGAAGCCTGAAGAATAGATGCATTTGGAAGAACACGGAAAAATCATATCGGCAGAATGAGCGATCACAGGAGACTGAAGCAGCAGGGAAGAACTGAGGAAGACTGAGAGAATATCTGACACTGGTGCAGGCAATTGAATAACTCATATCGAAGACCAGGTAATTTGCAACAGCTGAAGATTTCTGAACACAATTAAGCGACTGGAAAGTAACATTTAGAACGGAAGCTGATTGTTTCCATGCGACAAGAACAGAAGATTCTCTACCTGTGCCTTCCAACAAGGTGCCCCAAAAGTCCACCAGTTTCTTGAAAAACGACTGGGGCGCGTCCTTCGCCCACCGCCGCGGCTCTCTTGCGCTGCTGAAGTTCGGAGCTGAAACGTCACAATTAAAAATCTGCCAATCAGAAAGGAGACGCCAGCAAGATAAATCGTCAGTGCTCTCGTAACAAAGTGCAGCGCTTCAGAGGCCCTACCGTTTCCACGAAGTTTATTTGGTTCGTGGCTCGGCGACGATGAAAAATTGCGTCAACATCTTGACGTTCTTGATTAAAAACTTGAATCTTAAGGTCTTTAAAATACAGATGAGAATGTCACCGTGTTTACGTGACAGCTGGTAGTATCAAATGTCCAAAGCAATTCTGAATATCCGAATGTTTCGACATGGATTAGGGAAGCCGTCAAAATACGACACTGGCTTTCACTCTTCATCCATTTGTGTGTGAATCGGAGGCCTTGAAGTCATAGAAGCCGACGTCAGAACGGAGGGGCGAACGACGTCTAAATATAACTTCGTCTGGTTTTACAACAACAACAACAACAACAATTACATTTTTAGAAGCCAGTTTTCATCAGTCAGTACAGTGACTAGCCTGGGTTCGATTCCCGGCAGGGGCAAAGGTATGTCTCATATCCACCGCGTTCACATGGGCTCAGAGACCAGCTCATTAGACAATGGGGCTGTTTCCCCGGAAGCAAAGCGGCGGGGCGTGAAGTTCCACCTAGTGCCCAGCTTAAGAATGCGTGGAGATTACCTCCACTTTTCCGTACGTCTTCAAGGCAACTTGATCTTTGCCTTGCTTGCAAACACGCTGTATTTATGGCAACAAACACTCACTAAATGTCATCACGGGAGTGACAGAGGAAAGTAACTCTGTGAAGAAGGCTCGGTGGAATTGCAAACTGAGCAAACCATCTCCCGCGTCATCCATTTGCCATCTATTTGTACGAGCCATAATTATTTCCTTCGTCGCAACGACATCGCGGGCTCTAAGGAAATTTCGTGTTCCTCGAGACTCGGGAACCCGAATTAAAGCCGCCACCGACCGTAATTAACACCGCGGCGACCTTGTTCTCGAAATACCCGCGACAATTGACACTTTGAACCTATATTTAACAGACGTAGACTAATTAAGTTTCTCGTCATCGGCTCTGCACTGTTGAGTGAAAGAGACCGGGTCTCCGGTGTGATCGGACAACACTCAAAAGGTTAAGAAACACTTCACAAAAAGTTTACCTGCTGAGAGAAATTATTCTTTTCCGCAGAAGACTTGTCTGCACGGATGTGGGAATAGCACAGCCTATGCAATATTACACGAGGCAAACTTCCTGCAACTTAATAAAACGCTGACTTTTTCTTCCAGTTTTGAGAATAACGCAGTTTTGTTTTTAATTTTTCACGTAGTCAAAAGGTAAATTCTAAGTGAACTGAAAGCTTTGCTCGGGTGGAAGACACGAAAAATGCGTAAACCGATGAATTTGAAAGCCATTAAGGACATCTAGGCGCAGACGAGAGGATATTATTAAAATGCGTCACTGAGCAGCTCGTCTGGTCCTTCACTCCACTACTGCAAAACAAGAGGGTTGCAGACGTACGTGTTCTGCTACGGAGGAACTCGAAGTGCCCCGAATGTCCTTAGACTCGAGATCTTCCAGCATCTCAATCCCTCATCTGTGTCACAAGACATACGAGCAGTGAAGGAAACCGAACGTGTGAGCTGCAATGCAATTCGATTAACACTCGGACGGCCGGAGCGATAATCGAGTGTGCAAACAGAGCGGAGAGGATGGACCACAAGGTGTATATGCATTTCACATTTGCATCCGTCTTATTAGTTCTGGTCTCCGGTTAAGAGGACTCTTTTGTCAGATATTCACCTAAAGATAACGTTGAAAGATAAAAGTAGGCTACTTCTTCTGTATTGTAACATCCAATCACAAATATTTCCACAAAACGCCAAGATCTTCACAAAATTCTTACGATCGATCGATCGATCAATGCAACTGGACCAACATCACAGGGCGATCGTCCTGATAATAGTGGCAGTAAGCACCTGCGAAACGTCGGTCATTTACTACTATTACAATATGCGGCGCAACACCCCAGAAGGCAGCGATCTTTATATGTGTCGCCGTGAGAACCTGAAATCTCACCGAGCTCACGTCTGTTGCCCCTGTCCATTACAGCAACCGGCAGTACGCGACCCACCTCCTGCCTGATACACGCAGGGTCCGTTGCGACCTCTTGAAGGTCTTTGTGGGATTCGAGGTTTTGAGTCCGAAGACGGCCGCCTTCGGAGTTGTTGCGCCGTGTGGTCTGGTAGAAGTTTACCGACGTCCTAGAGGTCCCTGCTGCCTCCACCATCAGGGCGAACTCGTAATTACCGGGTCCCCCCCCAGATAGCGGTTCTGTGTGCTAAGCGACTGCTTTCGAACAAACACGCAGAGGAAAGTTTGTTCTGTGCCCCGTTCCGAAGCCGATGTCCCTGCGTCTTGCTTACTGCTCATTAAAGCAAAATTTTCCAAAGAGTTGCCATCCCTACAAAAGACAGACACGTGACCTTATTCCCTTACGCGGCTCGTGGTTTTACAGTTAAACGTTCTGAAGCACTCCCCTCTTGACCCACAAAGAAACAGCCTATTCAGTACAAGTGACAGGTTTATTCAAATTAACTTACGTCTGCGTCTTTCAGCAGATTTTTAATTGAATAAATTCAGCTTCAGGCATTCACAGATTGTGAGGTCCCGAGCCATTCGTCCTTCGACGGAGGTGTAAGGGCACTTACATATTAGCCACGCGCTAATCAAATTAGTTCACCGTAACACCTCATTAGACAAAACAGCAATTCGTCGCACTCCTCGCAGTAAACTACCCGTTGAAATTCAACGTGGCGTGGATTTGGGCATTTCTGGTCTTTGCCCACTTTCCAATGTTGCAAGGGCCTAATGAAGGCTTCTTAAAGCTCCGTGGCTGAGGAATTAACTTACGTTGACGGAGAACTCGTGGAAAATAAACGCTTTAATTATGTGCCTCTCGTCTTCTCCCCGACTCACCGTTTCAAATACAACCCCTCCACTTTTAGACCATCAACTGAACGCATCAGTCATTCTTTACGTAACAAGAGAGTAAAAACATTCATTTTAGTTTCCCTCCGTTTATATCCGCGACTGGCGGTTTAGAGGACAAATTTCATTGCCAAATATTTTTGGGCGCGTTCTGGAAGATGTATAAAGTTCTGAAACAAGCTCCTAAAAAAAGGTTTTTCGCTTTACCATTTTAACCCCTTGTGCTCAGTCAGTGGTACTAACCTAACCTAACCTTAACATTTTAACCTACATTTATTCCTCGAAATTTTCCACACTGCAAATTCCTATCGTCCGAAATCCTTCTCCAGCACAATGCAAGGCAGACAACAAATTTCTACCACATTTCTCTGCACTCCTCTGTTTAAACATTGAACGTTGTACTCTGATCTCACTGGACTTAAATCTTACCAAATAAACATTGGAGGAACCTATTACAAAGTGGACAATGATCTCGCTGCATTGTCACGTTCCTTTCTTGTGACGCACCAGGAATCAATTGCTCACAGAAATACGATCGTCGGTAATACTAAATTTTCCTCTTTTTCTACATTTTCTAATATTTACGTCACGTGGTAGAGCCCATGGAAGTCAGCTGGAGACAAACGTCACTTTAAGTGACAAGAAAACTGAGTCACATAAACATTTAGGTGCAGAACAACATGGCACTACACACGCCCCTAACAAATAACTAACTAATTAACTAAGAAACAATCCAATGCCTCATCGCTAAGACAGTCACAAATCCAATACGAAAGTCCGCCACTGGCCACAGCTAATTCAACTTATTTCTTAACGTACACTTTAATATTGTCATGTCTTCTCTCTCCGCGTTTCTTAGTGACTACTTAAAAGATTTATCCAACCAAAATTATGCATGTTCTTCCTCGTTCATTCTGCAAAGACCTTTATTTAGCAACTCAAAGTTCCTCATCGTGTAATGATTCTCAGGCACTTGCCATCTGAGTTCCTCCGACAGAGCCGAGACTCCGTTTCGGCTCCGTACAAAATCGCGCGGGGGCTAGGACATGCTCGAAGAACTACGACGATCATGTGCACGAGTTCAAGACACAAAACACTTCGTTTCATGTGCACAGTAAAAAGGATGAGAGCTGAACACTTCTTACCACTTAGCAGCAACTTTCGGTTTCAGAATCTCTGGCACTGAGAAACATTTAGAACTTTTCACGTTGTATTCCTTGTGACGGCGAGGCATTTCTGCGACCGCCCGCACTGCAACAGCACACGACTCCTTGCACTGAAGAACTGAGTTAGAACCCACTTAACAGTTAATTGTAGAGCCGTCACGGGTTATCAGCTAGAGAGATACCCTTCCTCACATGCGGACGCCAGCGGTGGCTACGCGACAACCGGGCTCCAGGCTTTTCTCTTGCTGGCACAGCTAGAAGCGATTTCCTCTTGTTCGTTTTCAGAATATTATTCAACAGTTTGTGACGAGTACGTGGGCCTTGGAACACAATCCGGGCCAAATAAACATAAACGTTAAAAACACGTAGACATTTCAGAGGTCCTTGATTCCTCCATCATCACTCATGGCCCTGATGATGGAGGCAGTAAACTTCTACCAGATTGCACGGCGCTACGACCCATAAGACAGCCATCTTCGTTAACAATTTCAGCGTGATTTTCATCTGCCACTCCACATGAAATACGTTTGCAGAAAATCCAGTCAACTTAATTGTAAAATAATTTGTTCTATTCCTGAAAACAATTACTTCCAAAGGACAATTTATTTTTGTGACGACAGTACGAACTCTGCATCAACAGTCTAGTGAGGAAATTCGATCTTAAAAGGATTTTCAGTGCGAAGAACTCACGCCTCGTGAAAGTATTTGTTGAATATCCAAAAACAGGCTTGGCAATTTTGTGCGATTACGTCATTAAAATCCTAATTATGGCGTCACAAAAACGAATCTGATAAGAAATTTGGCAAAAATATTTAATGACTCGCCCATACACGTCTGGCCATCAAATTAACTTACCGGGTCGTGAAATGCATTTTGACGAAATCAGCTGACATAACTGCACTGCACATTAAGTATAATGATCACATGGCATTAAAATAGATCGCACAAAGAGTGGATGCTGCATGTGCAAGCGCGGAGCACCGAACACCCGCCACTAGAACGTGAACTGGGTAACATCTCGACACTGGGGAGAAGTTTCTCAAACTACGGAGGTTTCAATTAAAAAACTGGTGCACGGGGCAGACGGACACATGAGTGATTGCTCCCTCCCATGTTGCCACGTGTTCCCCCCCCCCCCCCCCCCCCCTCCGGGGCTTGTCCATCCTTAACGATGTAAGAGTGACATATTACCACCAAGGACAGGGTACACTCACTCCCAGTCAAACTCAACAAAGTGACTTACCGGTACACATCAGTAGGTATCAGTGGCGTCGCCAAGCAGGTGGGACGAGGGGGACGCCGAAGACCTCATCGCTAGCCATCTTCCCATCCTCCCGACCTCCTCCAGAGGAGGTTTAATAACACTCTCTTCCAAAACGGCTGCTCCCAGGAGCTGCTGGGCTGCAAGAGTCGAAACGCCCACCAGAGACTTGACTGCAAGTCAGAGGTCAAATTTGTTTCGCCACAAAGATGCACTTTGCACATTATCTAAGACTGAAACTACTCGGACGCTTAGTAATACATTATTCGAGGGGTCCTATTTGATATGGAGGTCACCATTCCTCCTCCTATGGTATATAACAGAACGCGCTGATCATCACATGGTCTGCCAGTTTCTAAAATTAAACGCTTCCTGTTACTCTCTCAGCTAGGGGAGACAGCAATGATTTTTATTCCATATTAATATAATTGCTTAATTTGGAAGCTGCGACCTCATAGAAGTACAGTCTTATGCTGGTCAGCAGAGGGATGCATGCACATCAGTTCTCCAGTCATTGCCTATCCAACTATGTAACTGAAAGCCTCCAGGCTATGGAAACGTTCTTCAACTATTAACAGGTTATAAGCTGCTCAAGATATTCCATCAAATCCGTCTCCCCGTTCATAAAGGTACAAGTGGCAGAAATGCTCCACATGACTGTACTATCCCCATCCCTGCTTGCCCTAACGTTCATATTAATACAGCCTATCATGTGATGTGCTGCTGCTAGCAGCTACCCACATTCATTTAATCTGACATAAAAATCTGCCATGACCACAGCATCCAGTTTCTGGTTCATGGCTCAAGTCTTTCAGTTTGTCCTGCTGCTACAGGCAGTGCAACACCTGTCATCATTCTCTTCCCGCCAGTGTTACTTGTGGCTTACGTAGCGCGATTATCATGAATTGGAAATGGTCACAGCCTAATTTAAGGTAACATCCCAGAATTGTTTGTGGAGGGGCTGAGTCAAACTACAGAGAACTTTAGCCTGAGGACTTGAACCAGAGACCTCCCGAATATGAAGCATGAGTGCCAACACTCAGATGTGACATTCAATTTACACCAGCATCACGCATAGTTAAACATTTTGCAAATCAGAAGCAACATGTCTTACTAACAGCAACGCTGTGCATTTTCTTCCTTGAAGACTGCCATCTTCCGACTCACTGCTGTGAAAACCTCAAATCCTACGTTTCCTTCCTTGGTTATATATTGAAGGTTTCAAAACTGTTAAGAAACTCTAAAGAATTGGGTCACTACTCCCCCAAATCTCAATTTTATTTTGTGCACCGATAAAAAATCGCCAATGTTCATGAATACCAAGATGCACTCACTATGTGGGATTTTTGGTGGACAAACGCCAATGATGCGATGTTTTCCGTAACTTCGCCTTCCCCTGCCAACCGGGGCTGCGCTGAAATACCACATTCACCGCTCTCTCTCTCAGCCAGCATGATATGATAACGAGAGTCCTCAGCCGAGGTTTCGGTACTTGAGAAGATTATAGTAACAGAGATGTTTAGAGTTCTCGTGCCAGTGAGGGTGTCGAATGTGTTCTTCTGGGTTGCGACAATTTGCAGTATTGCAGGTCGTTAAAACGTTCCCCAAAATGTTGGCAACCTCCTGCAAGACTACAAATGTCAGAACCCAAAAGACCATTATCAATAAGCATAACAGAATTTGTATTAAACATGAAATTGTAGGATAAAATAATTTAATGTGCCGCAATTTCACTATGAGGATTATGATGACCGATTCATACGTTACTTAAGTACGCTTGCTTCAAAGCATATGTCATGTAGCATTAAATATGATCTCTATAATATTACTTAAAGATTTAAGAACTGTATCATATGAATGATAACAATATGAGGCAACAAAGAAGTTAAATAGAAGACTACAGAAATTGCAGCGTTCAACCAATTTCAGAAACAAATCTTACATAAGAAAGTGTCATATTAGTTGTGCAATGCTGAATCTGTTACCAATAGCGGTCATTAACATTACCACTACCGGATGTGTTTGCAGATATATACGGTAGTGTCAACAACTGCTACAGTTCTGTGGATTATCACCACTGCGTCATGTGCAGAATTTGGGCTTCTGGCTCAACACAATAATACAAAGGTAAGACACAGATAATTAAGCTCCTCGTTAAACAACACAGTCCACGGATAAAAACAGCAAACATTTAGACTTTCTGTTCCAATGTTTTAGGGAATTAAGTTTCGTGAAGAACGAAATGCAGTGTGGGACAAACCATTCTACGGATCATTCCATGTTCCACGAGAAGTCTACCCCCAGGACAGAGACAACAGGGACGTAGAAGTGACTGTGGTAATGTTGCAAAATTTAAGAGCCTACATTTCTTTTATTCACAGCAAAGATCACATTTTACCCAGTTATCCTGTTACAGGTACTAAAGAACAGAATGTTCACCACCTCCCAGCGTATTCTTCCATGACATTCACTCCAGTTATATCCGTAAAGTTTCATAAGAGCAGTGAGTGATGATATTTGCAATTCAGTGATTATATTTAAATTTATAGCACGGCTTGAAAAGTGGAACCTACTGCCCATCTCATGAAAAAGATTACAATTCATATCATATTACTCTTCTGTTACTGTTTTGCCTTACAGTCAACTTTACTGAATTTTTTTCATTATTTACACTAATATATATTTCTGCTGTCGGAAAAATAAGACATAATCTGAAACATACACAATTTTCTTTAGGAAATAAAGGTTGTAAGGGGTCAGTATGCTATTTGTGCGTGCAAGTTGTCCCTCCACTTTCAGCTTCTGAACTAGTTGGACATCTTTCAAAAAATTTTGGATAAATGATATGTCATTGGAGGACATGAAGCTTTTCTTCAGGCTCTCTCACAAACAATGCCCATTCCCTTCAAGCACAGTGTCATGGAACTAATCAAAAATGCCGACTGTTGCAGGACTTCCGTTCACTGTGTGAAACGGTGACAAGGCGCGTGGAACTAAGTGACATGGAATATGAGTACAGGCCGCCACACTACCACGAGAAGATATGCACGTCATATGGAGGAGGCGAGACAGCTGACACGGGAAATCAGGTTTGTGAGCTCAAAGAAAACACGGTGAAAGTAATTCTGGATTAGAAGAAATTTCTGTCATTTTGAAGGTACCAATGGCCCCCAACATCATCCACCTCCCAGGCCTTTGGTTCAAAATTAGCGAATCCAATGATGACTTGACAGAACTGCTATCCTTACTATGAGAACTTTGTGAATATGCGTAACACCAGTCTCAGAACTTCAGATTTCACTACTAGCCAACATCACCACAGCAATTACTGTACACGGATTCTCCGACACACAAAAGCCAGTAAGATGAAAATTCCCATAACCTGGTGCATGACAAATGAGTCTTCATTATAACAGCCACAATGGCATGGGGAGACCAGTGGAAATAATGTACTTACGCCTTACTTTGTTCCATTCCACATTTTGTGCAATTTGTCTTGTCAGAGTGTTCTACCATTCAAATTTCAAAACAATTTGCTGGTGGGGTGGTGAAGGGGGTTGGAAAAGATGGAGAGAGAAGAAATGCAAAAACCAAGTCCATAAAAATTTGTCAGAAGTGAAAATAAAGCATATTACCCTCAAGAAAGTCTGATGCACATTAATTCATATTGAATGAACCAAACTGTAACCAAGCGGTTATAAAGATGTAGATACCAGTGTACCGAAGGAACATATTACCTCCATCTTCAGGGCTTCAACTTATAGCAAAAGTCTAATGTTTCAAAGACAGAGACGGTCCCTAAAATGACAAACGTCTGGGTTACATATCCTTCATTACGATATTTCCAAGTTACAATCCAACTTAATAGTTGCATTATTTCATTCCCTCTCACGTGTGAACTGTTTCTTATCTTACTGTCTGATACTGATATACGTTATCATGCTTCGCAGATGTGCATGTTTTCTTGCGTTCAACGAACAGACACGGTCTACCTCACCCGACGCCGCTACGACACCAACTGCTGGGAAACATTCACAAAAACTGTAGCATCGTCTTGTGACTGTATGTGGCCAGAAACGAAGTATGCACCGACCGGTTAATGCACACAACAGAGATGAAGAATAAACCCAGGGTTTAGACAAGATAACTTTCACTAGTCTCACCACCTATAAGACAGCAACAGGACTTGGATCAACGCAATAAGAGAAAGCATCATTCAGATTAAGCAGCATATATAGATGAAAATGAATCTTCAAGGATGACTGTTTGAAACAGAAAATTATTTACCAACACAAGTGATTGATTATAAAGAAATTATCATTATAGACATTGCTTACAATCGTCTCACGCAGGTCGAGGATTAAAATAAGGGCTACCAGTGTTCCTATCATAATTTAGAAGAGTCCAGAGTTACAAAGTTTATTGGCTGTAACCAGTAAATATTTCACTACCTCCATGAAGCAGTCAAAAAATTCCCCACATTTTATGGAACCTGAAAGTTCACCACAATTTTAAAAAGAATGCACCACTGGTCCTATGCTGAGCCTTATGACTCCAATTCAGACACCTAAACCCAATTTTACAAAGATCTATTTTAATATTATCCTCTCACATATGCAGAGCTCTTCCAAGTGGTCTTACTATTATTAACATGACTCTGTTTCAAACACTTATGTGTGCACACATCCTTATAAGCATGACATAAAGGATGTGCATGCACCAAAATTTGAACAGTTTAGACGTTAACAAAGGCCATCTGCGTAACTCTCCTGTCTGGGTCGTTCAACTTGTAACCAACAAGAACTGTCCATGTCTTCCCCAGCTTGTGGGTTTTGAGAACACGAGGTTTCAGTGTCACAAAGAAACTGCTACAGAACATGTAATAATTTATATAATTTATTATTTAATCCACAGGTACCTCCATTTCTATTAAGGTGACTGTAATGCAAAAACAAATATAAGTACTTTTCTCTTAAAGACGAATTTTTCTACAGTACCTATGATTCACGCGTAAAACCTATACCTTAGAGGCTGTGGTCGGTACATGTAAAACAATTCTTCAGATGTGTACAATATACAAATCATGCGAACACACGGCCTGTACCTAATTCCAATAATAACACGTTTACCCCACCCACTTCCAATCCAGGATTTGGTAACTAAGGTACGGTCAATTCCCTCAGAACCAAATCATATGGATACCAAAGATCGTCTATCATCCTATTGGGCAATGTGTGTCACGTATGGAATACTGTAACAGGCAATCTGTTTGTGTGTTGCAGTAAACTTAGCAAGATCACTGAAGGGTAGATAGCACGTAGATGTGTCATGGAATACTGTAACAGGCAATCTGTTTGTGTGTTGCAGTAAACTTAGCAAGATCACTGAAGGGTAGATAGCACGTAGATGTGTCATGGAATACTGTAACAGGCAATCTGTTTGTGTGTTGCAGTAAACTTAGCAAGATCACTGAAGGGTAGATAGCACGTAGATGTGTCAAAGACTAAATTTCACACCTGTAATTTTAAATCAAGTTTATGCCAGATTACCAAACAATAATTTAAATGTTACAATTTAAAATTTTCAAGCTACAACACTTATAAATCACTATTATTAATAGAAAGTACAGTTTAATTAAAGTGCAGTATGCCAATCTGGACAATAGACATGGGACTTACAGAGACAGAGAACACGCTCACACTTGGTAGACATTTAAGAACAGAAGACTCATTCATGCACAGCACTGTGGTAGCCATTACGATGCCAGATCAGTTCTACTGACTACTTTTGAATCACAATGTGAAAGTCCTGGGATAGAAAAACATCAATGGTGAGAAAAACACACATCCCGTTCACCTGACCTTGCAAGAATCAGCTCATTTCAAAGAATATCATGTCAAAAGTCACTTGACAAAGCTGGCGAAAATAATATGGTATGATGATAATATTTTCTGACTTAGTACCAGTGCACCCTCTGCCTGTCGGAGTGCTTTGCTCTCAGTATCACAGAACAGTCTCATCAGTTTAAACATGCACGCTCAACAGCAGAGATAGAAAGTCAGACTCAACCAGACGAAGGCTCAAAATCCGCTGATGACAAATATGGCACAATATAAGAGATGAAACTTTCAGGGAATAAGAGGGCAAAGATTCAGAAATCAGGATTCTGGGGAGTGACGATGGCTCAGTGGCCATAAGGCATGACAGGAGCTGTGTGGCAGACAAGGTTAGAGATTAATGACAGAAAATACCAGTATGGTTTATTTCTTCGTCAGATAACTGCACAGTACAGAACACAAACTACTTCCAAGAGTTTGCCTTGTGCTTTGGCAGAAAGTGGTAGTTCTCAGGAACTGGACCGAGAAGCATTTCACTGTGGGGAGAAGAAAGTAACAATTTAATATGGAGCACATCCCGCACACAAGCTTCTGACGCAGAAATGTCTACATAAGGGTATGTTAACTAACCAACAAACTAAGTAACTACCTGAGGCACAGTTATTTTTGAGAAGCTAACAGTTACTAAGCTGGTCAAGAAATTCTCCACCATTTATGGAACGCAAAGGTTCATTTCTCCGCCCTGAACAGCCTCCTCCCACAGATCCTATCTTCAACCAGACAAATTCATTCCACATCCACCCACCCCACTTCTTTAATATCCATTTTAACAATATCCTCAAATCTACATCCAGGTCTTGTAAGCAATCTCTTCCATCAAGATTTTAAAACTAAGATTTCTGTATTCAATTTTCATCAGTCTCACGTGTACAACGAGAAATATTCAATACAGAACATGAAAGAGGAGGCAGATCACCAGTCATCATCCATGATCTTGGCAGTGTTAATGAAAATCAAACTCACATGAACTTTAGATGTGTCAATACATGGGAAATGTCACATCTTTAGAAAATGTATATATTGCACATACTAACTACTAGCACATCAACCAACTCACCTGATATTGCATTTCAAAATGAACAATGCTGGGATTCTTACCTAATACGAAGCCAATCTGCGCAGCTAGGACTAGCCATCAGCGTCTCCAGTTCATCACGGCCGCGATAATACGGCGGGCGCTGGTTTATCTTCTGAGGTGGGTACTCTAACAGCCCAACTGGAATATACCGATGCAAGAAAGACAGCCATTCGAGAAGAAATCGCCGGGTATTCTCCACTCCCTTGAAACAGATACAAATACCTAATTGAAGTGTGGGAGATATCAGACTACATGGCGCAATATCCCAGAAGACAGCCACCTTCATACTCACAGCCTTGAACCTCAAATCCTACTGACTGAATGATCATTGAAATTTCAGTCCCAAACCCTGCAGTATTCTTTAAAAGAACTGCATCAAGAATGAGAATGGATGCATGTGTTACCTTGGTATCTGATCCCCAATGTTCCAAGCCATAGTTAACGTACTTCTTCAGAATGCCTAACCGATCCGAACTTGATATGTCCCAGTGACGCTGCTCCTTCACTTCAGTGAATATCCACGGTTTAATGAGGGCACCGCGGCCAATCATGATCCCTGCTACAGTGGGACTGTTGACTAGCGCTTGCTCGTAGTCTTCATAGCTCAAGATGTCGCCGTTCCCAAACACTGGGAGTGGGGACCCTAACTGGGCACACTGCTCAATGTACTTCCAGTCTGCACTCTTCGTATAGCGCTGCTCTCGAGATCGACCGTGCACCTGTGGCGAGAAAAACGGCAGAGATGCTTCTGTGAGGCTACTACGACTCTCTAATAAGAGCTTTGCCACATAAAGAAAAGCTAACCTTAACCTCCAAATACGCCACTGATATAAACTGACCGTCACAAGTGAAGCACCCCACTCCTGGAAATTTGGTATGAGCGCGTGGGCCATGTTTTTATTGGCATAGACGCCGGTCCTCGTCTTCACAGTCAGCGGGAGGTTGATAACATTGCTCATGCATCGAATTACTGACTCCAGTGTTTTTTCACGCCTCAGCAAGCCACTACCTCCACCCTGGAAAAAAATTACCTAACAGCTCAACCTGTGATGATCTGACACCAACATCTCATAGAAATGCAGGTAACCACCTACAATACTACATTATTAATACCTAACAATTAACTATTATTAACACGCCTGACGTACCTGTTGATAAACAAGTTCTATTGGACAGCCCAGGTTGACGTCAATAAAATCGATCTGCGTCTTCTCTTCTAGCATTTGGGCACACCGTGTCATAACATATGGATTGTTACCGCACAGCTGTAACGATGACAAACAACCACAATCACAAGGTAAGACTACAAAGCAAGTGGCATTATGTAAAAATAACTGGTGGAGAGGCACAGGCTGTCTGTCATATGGAAAACATTCTGTGCGACAGGATTGCTCTAAGAGTCAACAGAACACAAATATTATGCAAGACTGGCACAAAAGACACCAGCGCCCACAAATGTGACTCAATCCGGTGATACAAAATTCTAGGAAGTGACTGAAAAATTTGTTAACAGGATTTACAAACTTCACAGCTTATGACAAACACACGCACGCAAGAAAAATGGAAAATAACTGAATACAAAAAAGAATAAAACATAAAAGCTTAGAGGAAAGATAAGGTTTGGACAACCACTGAACAGATGGCATGAAACCATAAATGGCCACACGGTCTAATACCTGAGAGGAAGACGATTCTGCATATAAAATTATGGTCAGTAGATTTGGTGTGAATGTACAGATAGGACATAATGTGAGTTACTAATTCACACAGACAACATAAATAAAACTTACTTGGACTCCAAACAAGTCCTCTGATGCATGTCTCTTAACCAGAGCCCATTCTTGCTGTACGCCTTGCAGTAAAGAACTAGCCATTGCCATTTCCCCACATGTAATCTCTGCTCCAAACTCTTTGCAGATTCGGCGAAATGGGAGGTTTCCAACTGTTGTTAACGGAGACAGATAAAGCTTTCCATTCCATTCAACCTGTTAAGAAATAAATGAATGATGTTGATCCCTGTTCTTTTATGGTTCAAACTGCTATTGTCAAACTATGATTCAACTGGGAAGGAATTACTGTATAATATTCTTACCAAATTCAGTACACACATAAAAATAACAAGGCAAATTAAAATGTGTTTAAATATAACCTGTAGGAATGTCTGTATATGTCAGAGAGCACTAAGAAGACCCAAAGGTACATGGGAGAATAATATTAAAATGGACCTCACAGAAATAATGTGGCAGTGTGTGTGAACTACACACAGAACCGGGATCTGTGGAAGGCTTTTGTGAACATGGCAATGAACTTCCAGGTTCTACAAAAGTCATAAAAGTGAATTTTCTGACTAGTGATAATTAGCACCTTAAGGACCCTGCTTCATGAAGTGAACGCCAGTTACTTAGAGTAACTCGGAACTGCTTAAGGAAGACCAAGTACCGTGTAATTACTAAATGTTAGATCACTGATTCCATTACCCTCTTTCTTTCCTCCGTTCGAACCTTTATCACGTCTTCATCAGTTATTGCTCCAGATCTTTTGATCTCACCCACAGATGTCACACTGTCTCCATCAGCGCAGTTTTCACTTCCATTGTCATTTTCAGAGTCTACTTTACAAATAAAGTCTACATCTGCCCTATCATTGACGTCACGTAAAGTGTTATTTTCTCCACTAACTTCTTTTGTTAATTGCTCCTTTCCTTTGCTTTCATTTTGTAGCAAATCTTTCTTACTGTGTCTGTACTGCACTTTCTCTTTAGATTTCCTGTCATATTTGGCAATAACGGAGTCACTCTTGGAAAAATCGTAATGACGTTTGCGAAGACTGAACTGAACACTTTTGTCAAGTTGATTAAAAGTTGATTTTGTCTCACGAAATTTCTCATGTAATGTAATGTTAATAATATTTCTGCCAGACGGGGTTAAGTGCTGTGAACCAAACCTGAAAAAAATAAATAAAAACATTTACACAAGTAAATTTAAATACCATACTAACCAAAGTATGGTTCTTACAGGTAATCCAATCAATGATTCTTTTGTTGTGTTTGTCATATGTGCACAAAATTTACAATTAACTGGCAGTTTATGTCTGGCCGTATATTTCAGCTCTGGCAGAAATTATAACTTTCAGGCCCCTTTCTGAGTATATGTGATTTGACGCACATCTGGACATTGAACTCTGAAGCTAGTACAAACATTAAGAACCTTAATCTATTAAAATATTAAGCAGAATGTGGTGCAGAGTCTATATTAATGATTGGATCTGTCAAAAGTTAATTTATACCTGCAATAAACAAACATAAAAATAAATGTGTATACACACACATATTCAGTAAACTTACAAAGCCTTTTATCTTTATTCCCAATGTATCCCATATTCTACACTATTTACTGAATCAACTAGTGAAACTAGCTATGTATGCCTGAAGTGTAAAAGCTTACCAGATTTACTGACACATGAAAATTTATACCTGCAAGAAGCACCTCGTGGACAACGGCCTTGCGTGGAATATACATAGCACATGGAACTTAGATCGGGTGACTTTGCAGCCAAATATGCTGACACATCATGAAGAAAGCTGCACTTGGGATTGCCACAAATTGGCAATTCCTCACTTTCAGAGATGTCAATCAGAGTTGGACACAAATTCATCTCCCTGATATGTTTAAAGGGTGGGGGTCGTGCCTTATTCTGTCCCCTAAGTCTCTTCTTTTCACTGTTACTCAGTTTCTGTTTCTTGTACGGCTGGGAAGTACTTTCATCTCCTTTATCATTGTATTCACTGCCATTATCACCATCCCGTGCTGCAAGTCTTTCTTTATCACTTTCAGAAATGCATTCTAATGATAATGTTCTTGTATGATCAGAAATTATAAACCTGAAAGCAATATCAACATGTAAATACGGATGCACACACATATTTTTGAACAAAATCTCGTTACAAAGACAAAAATTATGGTCACTTACTTCGAAAGAATATACGATACAAGTACATGAAAACAAAGTGCACAGACACAGAATATTCAGATACATGTGGGATGAAGTAGGAGGATACATTCTGACATTACATAATGAGAAACTTTACTTTATACACGTCACCTATTAGGTTGGTGAAGCCAATGATATGAGGAGCTTGGTGCAACTTTACAGAAGACAGCCACCTTCAACTTTGGCTACAGGTTATATCTGGGGGACACCGCAATTTGATTTACAATCAGCAGATCAGCTATTCTAAATATGGATTTTATAACTTCATAACACCTTTATGATTATTAAACAAATGCTGCAATAAGTTCCATTTTGCGTTATTATTCGGCTTCCTTCGCATTTCGTTATAAGTTACATATTTGCCTGCGGTAGTTAATCACAACCTTTCACCAATTAGCATAGCATCCCAACCCTGAAACCGAGTACGTACATTGACACGGGCGGATTACCGACATGCACCCAGAAGTAGAATGCCATTAAAACCAATCACAATTCCTAACCTAGAACACGAAACCCAAACATCATGACTGTAATATTGACAAATAAACGTAACTGTATCACTCCCATAGGATTATAATTAAACACATTTAAAACATAATAATTTACTCTGCTTTGATGACAGCTACACCATTTTTCCTCTCTGAATTCGTTTCTTTATCCAAAACACTCATGTTCGTTACGTAAACTACTAAACAAAACAAGTTAAGAATTAGCAGCAAGACCACACATATTATATTCCGCTCACAAACTCCAAAGAAGTTAGTTCATCTAAGCTGCATACCGTACCTCGTCACAGAGATAACAAAATATGGCTTGGGAAGCGACAACTTGTCGTCAAGACCTAGTAACTACCATGGTCAAAGGAAAGAAAGAAAGAAGTCTTTCGACCATGGTAACTACGAGCGCGTCATTTCAATTATATCGCAAGACAATTATGCTGTGAATATCAAGACTAAGCATTTGAAAACCAGTAATGGCTAGTTGGGGCAGTGCACCACTTAAAATATTAACTCAAATGTTGTTGTAGTTCAGGTGTGTTGATAGTACACACATGAATATAATATATAGATGACATGACTAGTCATTCATATAACATCGTCACCCTTATATTCATCACCGCAAGAACCTGAAATCTCACTCAGAAATACCATGGTTGAGGAACTGGCTTGTGGGCAAGGGGAGTTGCAAGTCAGCATTATTAAAATGTACTAGAATTTGGCAATTTTATTTTACAGTTTTAAATTCTAAATTTTTGTTGCCACCAACAAAACTTTCTGCCTTACTTGCCCTTCCTCAGTGAAGTACAAAATGTTTTCCACGTGCAACCATGCACATTAGTCTGAGGTGTCCAAAGTAACAAATACAATTTTATGGCCTATCCAATACAACCACTTGTGGTGCTTATTACGGGTAGGCCTGGAAAGTTCAGATTGGAACAAGATTCTAATGACACTGATTTCTGATAAGGACATCAAATAGGGATGCTAACAGGTGGCAGTGCAGATGCAGGATGCGTTTATTGCTGAGGTTTGTTCTCTGATGAACATGTAGATGAAGTCTTTGTAAATGTAATGAAGGATGAAAAATTAAAGTCAATCATGTCATTAATTGCTTGTAAATAATTGAATCTACCCAAATCAGGAATGTGTTTATGTCAATATTAAATGTGGCCTCCTGTGTTATGATGGTGTACAGTCTTGTATACATTTCTACTCCACAGATGGAGTTGAGAGGTTCCTTCAAAATATGGTAACCACTTTCATAGCCCACAAGACCACACTTAATATATTCACTGCTATAAGAACTGTAAATCTCAGTTCTGTGTGCCTAATTTGGGTCAGACAATATTTTCTAATATTTCTACATTTAAAATACATAGTTGTTAATTGTGTTCTCAATTACATCAAATGGATGGCAAACAATAAGTTAATGTTTTTAATTACTTCATAGCTCTGATGTTGTTTCCTTTCTTCTTTCTGTACGCCTTTTATAAAAACTTGTAATGAAGCGACGAATACTTTCAACTAGTCACAGAAGTACTGTCATGAAAAGTGAAGTGTCAATTGAATTATTTGCATCCTGCGGTTTCCTTTTAGTGGACAGATGACTATCCGTATGTCGCATTTGTAACTGTCAGCCGTAGTCTTCAATAAATCACAGAGCTCTTCCTGGATTTAATTAATCTCTTTTACATCAAGTGACCTCCTCTTTTCACCTCTCATGAAAAATTGCATTACAAAAAATGCAATGTTTTTATTGTTATAAAATAGCATACACTGAGGATAAAGTACAGCTGGCAGAACAGATCCTGTGGTAAGTTTAGCATGTGTCCTTGGGAGGTCCAGGCAGCATATATGTCAGGATGCAACATACTGAAACAGTTTAAAAGTATGTAGACAAACCAACTTTGCCGTTGCGAAGAAGTAAACTACCTGACGTTCATCTCGATAGAAGATGTTTAAAAATACACATAAATTAAATTGTAGAACAGAACATATTATCAGTTACATAAAAGAATGTTATAAGATTAATTAATGAAAACTTTAATAAATGTTTAATTCATTTCATGGCATGCACTGACACTTTGTGCAACGACTCCTGTCTCTGGAAACAGACGCTGATTTTAACTTCATGTAAAGAAAGTACGGTTTTGGAGAAGTACTGACTGTCATGGTTTTCCTCTTTGACCTTTCATTTTTGCACAGTCAAGGAAAAAATAAGGTTAAAATAAATGAAATAAAAGCACTCGAGGCAATTTTATAAACAAATTGTAATATTAGACATAAACTAAAATCCGAACAGCATAATGCAATGAACCCAGAGTAAAATGGAAGACAGACAGTAAGAGTGCTTACCCAGAACAATCCCACTGAGTGAGAATAGAGATGCGTTGCATGCGGAGTCCAACAGAATGCCCAGCACAAGGCTACACACCGTCACTCCAAGTCGCCCAGACATCAGCGACAGGCAAATGGCCATTGCCCTGCAGAACAGTACCTAATCTAGTGTTGGTTACTGACATTTTAGAGAAACCTGTTGTCTCCATATTCAGGGTATAAGGCAGCACGTTCCTCCAAAACGCTGGTAACCACCTACAACACTAAATACAGGAGTCATAACACACAATACCACAGCTGACATGTTACCACCTGCACAGTGTCTGGAAGAGGTTGTGACTTAGTATTGGTTTGGAGGGACTTACGAAACCCACGAGCACCTCAGGGCCTAGAACTGAACGAGAGGCATGATGCAATTATACAGAACACGTTTATCGACTGAAGTATCTTACCTGAGCTGCGTCGGGATGTTGTCAATGACAATGCTACTCAGCATATTAACACTGACTCCAGCCATTGCTATGAAGATGGACGACAGCACCACCAGTAACAGCTCGGTGTTAGCGACGTTGATTGTCGCAATGCATACGCTGGATGCCACCAAGCAGACCACTGGCAACACAAAACACTGTCACAGAAGCGACACACCTCCGTCCGACAGAATCATGTCGGCGATGTACGGACGTTGGAATACACAAGACGCTAGTTAAATTAAACGCAAAGGCGGAGTCTACACACCAAACAATGTAAAAAGAGTTCGTATTAGCGTCGGTCATGAAACATCTCCTTTCCATCTTTTTCAATGGATCGCTTCCCTTCCGGGTCACGGAGACACCAGAAAAGAAGTGGCTAAACAGAGGCCAGACCTCCGGCAACAAACTTCAGTTACAGCAGCAACGACACTGCCAGTGGCGTTTGTGATTCAGTTCGCAAAGTCTAAATTCAGCGTCTCTAAATTTTCTCGTTTTATCAGCGGCATCCAATGGCAAAGTTAAGATGTAACAATAAACATTTTTTAACTGTATCGATATTAAAAATCATATCAGTTCGGGTTAAGTGTTTCCTGAAAATAAAATGTTTGTTGGATAGGAAAAGCCAGACATGTTCCTCATTGCAGGATTTGGGGGTTTTACGGCGGTAAATCCGAAGATGGCTGTCTTCTGGATTTTAGTGCCGTGTAGTCTGGTACAAGCTTATAGTCCGCGAATGTAATCTTGAGACTTGCGGGACGAGGAAGTGGGGTGAAGGAGGAAGGAGAAAAGATGGCGTCTGCCTTTAACGCTTCGGACTACCTGCATTCCTTGCAAGTCTCAAGGTTACAGTCGCGTACTGTACCAACATTTCAGAGATCCTTCTCGCCTCCATCATCAGGGAGTTAGAGACAGCAAGGACCTCTGACTGTGATGTACATAAACACTTATATGCAAGAGTTACGTCATTTAGCCTACCCATAAGAAGCTTCTTCTGGATGAATTTGACCAGAAAACCAGCGCAGGTGTAGACGGTGATGCACACTAACCCTACAGCAAGACTGTTCCGAAACACCGTTGGATCGACGGTCGAGGTGCAAGGCGACATGTTATTAAGACCCCATGTCTCGTTTGCGACGTGACCCTCAGTACTGTTCACCATAATTAATTCTGTTAGGTTGTCGATTTGTGTCGAACGCACGAAGTCGCCAGCGACTGCTGTGCTGTTCGCCAAAGCAGTGACCACCTCGCAGATCGTCAGAGAGTGGTTGGGATTGCGCTCGGTGTAAATTGAAAGTCGGTTGTAGAGGTCAGGCAGCCAAACGGCGAATCCGTTGTAACTGTTCAGGAACGAAAGCAGAGGAGGCAGTGAATTGTCTCGCGATCCCAAATTCACGAGAGTAACACCCAAAGCCAGCAACATCAAGCGTCTGAAGCCGAAGCTCGTCTAAATAACATTTAAGAATTCAGTCCGTACCGCGAAGAAAACACCACACGTAACCATTAGATGAACTGGTTAACGCTGTTCATGGAAATAATCGTACGAAACACATAAGATTTTGTGAATCGAGGATTGTCCATCCATCCATCCACCTGACTGTCTGTTTATACATATTTACAACCGGAAGGTTCAACAACGCTACAACAAAAGCACGCTATTATTTGTGTCACTTCATTTAAATCCAGAATAAAGTATTTTCATTTAAGAACAATGTTAGCTCAGCGTCTGTATGTATTTCAAAGACTTTTTTTTTCATAATCTCTATTAATCTCCACGAGATGATCGCCGATGAAACCACCAGCTCCTACGAAGAGCTGCGTACACAATGCGTTATCTGTTACCTGGCGTACAGTGAAAACTGGATGATGCAGGCCAAAGTGGTGAGGGTCAGGTTGGGTCGCTGGAACAGCGGTTTTGTCTGCAACCACATGCTCTTGAATATTTCGATCGCTGACGTCGGCTGGACAACAGCAGTTGGTGCAATTTCACGCGCGTCCATTACTACGCGTGCCACCTAGCCATCAGAAGCTGCGTTAAAATGTAACAAACTATAACACACGCACTTTAACCCTTCAATGGACAACATTAATCGAAAGAGAATTTATGAAGGCGGTAGTGCCTCAAGGAGAAAGGACTCACCGGATATTCCTCAGCCGGTCGCCCGGTGTTGACGGCAAACACGCGCCTAAGCACATCCAGAGCCTGCCCCTCCTTTCCTTTGGAGAAGAGGAACTTCGGTGACTCTGGCAGGAAGAAAAGGATCACGGCGGTGGCGACGCTCGGGAGGGCATTGATCACGACAAACACGCGCCAGGACCTGAATATTAGGTCTGGCCACGGCAGCTGCACGGCCCAGTCCTGGGGGATGATCAGCCACGCCAAACCTGCAGTCAGACGCCACAAAGGGCAACGAATTTCTGCATGTGGTTTCGATCTCGGCTGGAGATTCCTATGAAGTTCCGAACGCGATTTGAACGTGTCGACAAATTTCTGTTAAACTCCCCAGTGTAAAATTTTGTAAAAATCTTTTCCGCTGTTTCAGACGGACAGACATGGCGAAGTTCCCATCGCGCCTGAAACTCTTAGTCAGAAGAGCCCAGGAATTGAAAAAAGAAATGTTCATGACATCTGACACCGGGGAGTTTTTTATTAATATTTGTCGATGCGGTCCAGTTTTCATTAAGATCGGACAACAGTCGCGGGCAAGTTTTTAGACCTACAAGAATACCTGTGGCCCTTTTACAGAATTTGCAGTTCACTGCCTTTTCATAACAGCCCACACTGCGTCGTGACCTGAGTCAGATGAATTTCACCAAATTTCGTAAAGTCAAATTCTGACATTACCATCCCAACCCAAATTACGATAACAGGTTCTGAGCTGTGCAGTGGTAAATCGGCAAAACAGGACGACACAGGGTCCTTCGGTGATATAAACGGCCGGAACGTGACGCTACCTTGCTGAAATATTCCGCCGACGGAGAGGAACACGCTCACCAACATGACGGCTCTGGAACGAGTGGGCGCAGAGTGGAACTCGCCCAGGTAGGCGAAGACGACGGCCGACGGGGCGCAGACGCTGCGCGCAGAACAGACACAAGTGTCACTTTTGGGTATCAAGAAACACATACACACACACACACACACATTGATGCCTCAGTTAGGGCCGCAGCTTCCGAGTGGGGCTCCACGACAAATTTCAAGGCAAAATTTTAAGCATGGTGTTTTATACTGCAGCTATATTTTTCATACAATTGTGCATTCACATACAAAATAACAAAACGCATGATGAAATACATCAAAAATGTATTAAAGGAATGTTTAAACATTATTTATCCCATATAATTCAGAATGCATTTGTCCTGAGAACATACAAGTAAATATTGTACTTCCTTAACACGCGTACGTTTCCAGTAAGCCGTGGAGAATACGTAACCTCAAATTACATTTTAGAATATTATTCCAATATAACGTAACATAACATGACACATCTTTAAGATTTCTGTCTTCTGGGTTGTCATCGCCCTGATGACGGAGGCAGTATATGACCTCCGAAACGTTGGTTAACATCGACCAGACTACACGGCGCAACAGCCCAGAAGACAGAAATCTTCATACTCGCCGCTGTGAAAACCTCAAATCATGACACATCTTATTTGCAAATAACAACAGCATTATCGTAAATAATTTAATATTTCTTATCGTGATGAACACAACATTTATTATTTGCGTCGAAGACATGCAACAACTTTGTTATAGTTTACGTCAACTTGATGATGGCCGTTGTCTATCGAAACATACAGCTAACATTTGTAGAACAGTGGAAGTCGACACTGGAATCAGTGCCAAGACTCACAAGAAGCCGTTGAAAAATCTAAGGAGACAGAACAGCCAGTAGGTGTCAGCGAGACTCGACGCCAGGCCGCAGACAGCATCGAGCACCAGCGCCACGATCAGCGTCTTCCTGCGTCCTCGGGTGTCAGCGAGGTAACCCCACAGGTGAGAACTGCATATCATCCCTTGGAACAGACGGCAGTCGGCTCATAACTTTTGTCAACCAAAATGTCTTAGTACAAACATGGGCCCGATTTCGGTTCAATACAGATTCATTTGCAACAGAATATGCTATTGTGACGTAATACGAACGCAGTCAGAATTTTATATCCCTTATTTAATACGCCATTAATCCTAACTTACATACGCAGGAAAACATATTTGTTGCTACCCGTTCATTAACACGTCAGAGCATCTCACCTATATAACTGATGGCATTCAGAAGCCCCTTCTCCGACGAGTCCATTTCAAACTCGCATTGTGCGGCAGGAATCAGGAAGGCTGTGCCAAACACCTCCCCCACCATAGCAACGAGACAGAATCCACAGCCGATACTTAGCAGCAGGTGGAATTTGCCGTGTCCTGTTTAAAACAAAACAGCATCTCAGTGGCTACCTGCTCCTCACACCTAACCAAAGATACGACGCGTGGGCTAACAAAGATGCAGTTCAAATTTTCATGTGCAAGTCCACTCATTCCTTTTGTTTTGCTACCGTTCTTAATGTTCCCTTCACTTAGAATAATAAATGTACATTTTGACTTTCGAATATCTGGGGCCTCTTAAACTCGCCAGAGACTCGGACGGTCGTCGTGAAATAAGGACAATACGCCCCAAAAGTACTGTTCTCCGGTTGTCATGATTGACAGGCATTGTGTCCATTACAGACATGTTAAGAGTGCAGTAAAATCCGAAGATGAATATGGAAGGTGCACTGATGCTTCAACGCACTTGCCGGTCGCTGGGTGAAGTCCGATTCAAAAACCAGACAAAATCATTGCCACATAAGAAGTTATCGTACCTGAGAGAACAATAGCCTGTTCGAAAGGCGTTGGTGGTTTGTGTGATTCGCCATTTTGTTCGTTCTGCGGCTTTGGATCTGCAAGAGAGACGAAGCAGTTTGTAACATTCCAATATTTCAGCGTTATTTTGAAGCAACGAATGACATAAAAGACACAGATATTCATCATGCTGCCCACAATGCTTACATTTAACGTCGATTGTATTTTAAATGCCGTTCATCATAAAAATTACTTTCTAATTTAATAAAGAACAAAAATTTGTCACGTAACGTTCATAAACTACTATTTACAGAACATTTGTTCTTTAAAATAAGATTTTAGGTTTTCGTAACAGTAAAAATGTGGATCATCGTTTACTGGGTTGCGGTGCTGTGTCGACATGTTGGCAGCTAACGACGTTTCGGAGGAACGCATTGCACCCTGAAGGTTATACAGTAATTGCAGAAGTAATAACGCACAGTAAACTCGAGACAATCCGACCTACAATGTGGAAACTTGGGTTCGTAAAATGCGGAAGCACAGATTCCTATGTGATCAACGATGGAAAGTGGCCTGGCCGCGTTTGCCACAAATTTCGTTCAATCAAGTTCTGGAATCGCTGGAATCCAGCTGTAGAGAACTGACGTGTCCAACAGCAGCAACACTTTTGACAATCACAACTCCTGCTGTGTCCTTCCAGGTGGACTTCGACGCCCAGAGCCTTTGGTTTCGATGTCCATGTGTTGCACATACAAACCCATTATTACCAACATAACAACGCTGCATATGCTCACCACATAAAAACACTTTTGAAATCAGTCTGTGTACCTCAGTGAGATAAACGTCTTTTACGTTGTGATACGTAACAATGACTTTTACGATGATTTATTTATTCCTTTTACGTAACTAGTCAACTTTAATTTTGATTTCATTCAAAATATGGATTAATCGGAAAGATTCTAACCGAAATTAAACAATTTACAACAAGTACCAAGTTTAACCGAAATTCGTTCGCTACTTTCGGAGATCAAACCCACGACCTCCCGACTACGAGACTCGTCTCTCACCTGTCTTCGACCCTTCCATCGCGCTGGTTGCCATGGCAATACGGTCTTCTACAGCATCTTAATAACTTAAGTATGATCCACCCTCCCAACCTGTTTGCTGGGAGTTCTTTAACGTGATTTAGCTCGATCCATGGTAGATGCTTGTATGTACGAAGATAGGAATTTGTACCACAGTGACCTTTACGACACGGTTCAGAGAATTACACGTCATAACGAGTGTAAGAGTTATCGTTCAGATATCAGACCAGCGTTAATGCACGTGCCTGGGTTTGCAAATGCATGAACAAATGAGAAGTGGCACTTTAAATTAGTCATAAAGGGTTGTAACGAGCATAATTGCATTGGAAGACGTAGTAGAATGGCTCCATACCATAAAATTCGTGCACACCCAATGTATTTTGTAATAAGACTTCTTCACCTAAAATAGAGGCAATACGGTCTTCCGAAACGTCGGTAACTACCTACATTTGGAGCTGTTTTGTTGTCTAAGACAGAGGAAGGATACAAATATGTAGTGAGATTTCAACGGGGAAGAGGCGTCCTGACGATGGAGGCACTAAGCTCCTCTGAAACGCCAGCTAGTATCTACAGGACTACGTACACACCGAAACATCCCAGAAAACTGCCATCTTCATGTAAAATGCGTCACTCGGATTGCTTTGAAAAGGAGGTAAGTTCCCTAGACGCTCGAAAGGCAAAGGCGTGGGGCTGCAACACCTCAGTGCATCCTTACATCTGTTATCAGTTTGTTTGTTTGTAATGAACTTGGAGAATTAGCTGATGAAACTCATCCAACAGCACACAATGACTTGCTCCTCCAGTGGCCTTCGAAATTTGTGCAACACTTTTAGAAAGTTCTCAGCCATCACAAATAAAACGTACGAAGTTGAAAAAATCAGTTCCGTTAGCGTAACGTTTAGAAATTTTGCGCTGAAAACGTGAAACGAAGATGTTTTGGCGAACTACGTGACTCAGCATGAGAAAATCATTAACATACTTCCGCTGCAGTTGACAGGGTTGCTTCCGGCGTCATCGATGGATGATCTACTGATCAGATATATCAAATCTAAAACTTCTTGACGATGGTGAAGAGTCAATTGAATAAAGATTTACTTGGATATTATCCATCGTCTAGTAATAAAACGTAAAATCAGATGCTGGAGAAAAAAATGTAAGTACAACAGGAATGTAAATCAGCTATTTACAGTCTTCGAGAAAGCGTTACTTAGAGAAGCAGCTGCTACGGACGTTTGTAATTGTTGCATGGGTTATTTATACAACGACACTCTTCCGACGACATAGGTTGCATTGATCGAATTGGAAGTTGCAGTGGAAGGAAGCATTCGTGGCCTATTTTAAATAATTATCCCGCAATTTGCTTCAAGCGCCTGAGGAAAACTACCAAAATCTCATGGTAGCCGGTCTTGGGGCCTAGAAACTGGTGACAAAAGACAACAAAGAGAAGTGAATGGCGAAGCGCGCATTGTTACCATACAAATTAAGTTTTAATCAGATTTCTGGGATGGCTGTGTTGCCGCCATGTTGGTGGGCGGTGCCACAGTAGTTTCGTTGCTATGGAGATATCGATGTTTCCGGACCACGGAAGACTCCGGTGTCTCCACCTCCTCCGGCCGCTTGTGTTCCGGGGAGCAAGACTGTGGCACAACTTCTCCGAAACACAGGTTTAACACGTCCACGACCCGCAATTAACCGATCAACTCTTAATTAATACACATTTGTTTCAGCTGTGTGCTTCTAAACTCCAGTAAAAAGTGTAAAATCATATGGTCGTCTGCCTTCAATGTTCCAAGACCCGCCATATTACCGGAGTTCTGTACTCCGGACGGCTTGAAACAGAATCCTCTGCGTCTCTTCTGCGTTCCGGTGAATTGACTCTAGACAGAAAGTACCGACTGCACTTCGTCGCGGAAAAGAACGGCAGTCGTGGAGTGGGGGAAACAAAGAATCGACTTCCGTTTCCTTCAGAAGAGACCAGCGTCGAGCGTCGCGGCGCACGGGATCAGAGTGTTTCTGGGCGGCTTACCAAAGCAAAGCAAAAATACTGCCAATGCCCGTTCAAATTTAACGGGGAACCAGAAACACCATTTATTTCATTCGAATTAACGTGTTATTTAAGTTGATTAAGCGTCATTTTTCCCGCACGCTCCGCATAAATGAATGAACATGTTAAAGCCAGAAAGATTTCAGAGTTAATTTCTTTCCCCGAAGCGAGTGGTAATTGAATTAAGAATGAGTGATTAATTCGGTTAACCACTCGTTCTTAATCTCGGCACTAGATAGAGCTAAGTGCTCAGATTCACGCCCCGGCCGTGCTTTACCCCCTGCTGGGTGGGGCCCAGAGCCGGTCTAAAGGAAAAAACCTTTGCTCCTATCGGAGATCGAAGCCCGGTCGTCCAGCCCGTAGCCTGACTGCTCTACCCGGGCTATGAAGGTGTTGGTTCCAGGAATATAATATTTTCCAATGATATTCAGCGACGGGCATCAGTTGAACGTTCGTAAAATTACATGGTTTTTTGATAAGCTACGCAACGTTTCACATTTTTTGTTAATTTGGTGTGAATCTACTTTATTATCCTTGATTTGTTTAGAGGGGGGATGTGGTCCGGAGAAGTGACGTGTTTTGGGGGAAATGATGTCACGTAAGACAAAGACAGGACTGAAAGAATCACGTAATGACGAAAGCTGATCACGTGTGACACTGTGGGCTCTCAGAGGGCCAGGAACTTGTTGCAAGAATTATCGCTTTCGGATAGAAAGTGCAAAACACAAAATAGGATCGGGAATTCTTGAAGCTTTCTAATAATTATTAATGACTATCAAATCTAAAACTTCTTGACGATGGTGAAGAGTCAATTGAATAAAAGTTTCCTTCGATATTATCCATCGTCTAGTAAATATAAAACGTAAAAACGACGTTTCGGAGACAGGGATTAGCTCTATGTAGTGGGCCCAACTGTGTAGGAACCTAAAGACGGAGATAGAGTCCCATCTCCGAAACGTCGTTTTTACGTTTTATATTTACTAGACGATGGATAATATCCAAGAAAATTTTTATTCAATTATTAATGACGACGTATCAAAATTTCTCCAGCGCTCTCTTGTCAAGAATTCAATTAGAAACTTCGCTTTCAGAATTAGAGAGGCAGGCCTGTGACTTTTCGCGTAGGTGCGGTCATTTTGTTAGGCCGTGTGTCTTAAGTTATAAAACAAAATTCACAAAGAGAGAGCACAGCGTTGCTACAAAGGACGCTGCATGTACGTGTAGACCAACAGCAAAGCTGCTGTGTCTTCGCGCAATTTCTATTTAATAAAACAAAGACTGTAGCCTGCATGCTGAAATTAAACATTCTGAAATGACACACTAGCCCCTAGATATCAAATTTGTCATAAATTATAAGCATTATAAATGAACGTGAACGAGAGTATGGTGCCTGATATAACAGCCAAAATGCATCTTCCCCAGTTTCTCCAAAATGCCACACCACAGAGAAAAGAGTCAGACTATGAAACAAGTTACTAAAAGTACAGCACGTACTCCATTGTAACTCTTAAAATAAGATTATTGTGGGTAATGGGTTGCAAAGTTGCAAGAGGCCTTCCAGATCCATTTTAAGAACCCAATCTACAGATATTACTTCTGGTGGATTTATTTTACAATACTTTGTCTTTATTCCTTGAAATGCGTATACATTGTACCTTCATTTGGCAGGTTTCTGCAAGTACAGGTAGTTGCAATCACAGATGTGACACTCGTATATTATTTTGTGATTATGCAACACGAAAGTAACTCTGACAGTTATGATGGCGAAGTGGAAGACATTTCTGTTGATGAGTCTGACAGTGATACTCTACATCAGAAGTAAGAAAATTACACTCAGATTTGCTGAAATACAAGCTCTGTAATGAATGAAAACTGCAGATCGATTACACTACACAAATTATCAAAGGACAGCCCAAGGTAACACTGGATAATAATGAAGAGGATTTTCAAAAAGTGCTTTAAATAAAATTATTCACCCACATTACTTAATGACCAAAGACTACTATTTAAAATAATATGTTTTCTTTTGGTTCAAAATTCAGAACGTTAGTGAGGCAAGCGGTTAATTTCGGATAATAGTTAGGAGACACCTGCCTATTATTTTGGAATAGGCTACTAGTTAACTATGTAACAGTGCATCATTAAATCGTATTTACGATAAAATTATGACAGCCGACCTGCTCTCCAAAATGGCACACCACATGTTAATCAACAGTGATGCTATAAGACGGCATTCAGTAATGTAGGCTGTAAGAAACAACAAAAACAGATTTGCTGCATGTGACCGCATGAATCCATGCAAGGTATGCATTGTCCAGTTCATAAGTCTCTCTCATAAAGCATGTTCAAGCCACCAAGTTTATTTATCTTAATAACAGAACTGTTATACACCATCTGTAAACAAATCAACAGCAGATTTAATGTACTGGAATGCAATGGAAATTTTCACTACAGGCTGCTAAATGATGAGAGCAACAAAAGTACTTCTTATACATGTTTGTGGCTTGATTCTGTAAAAGCCAAAATTAGATTTTATTAAAAATTGGTTAAACAGTAAGCTCAATCTATCTGCTCTACATAACCTATCTTCTAAATACCATAGTCACTTGTAGGCCTTCTGTAGTTATAAAATCAAAGGGACTTGATACTTGCACTTTAAAATTCAAAGTTCTAATTGTACTTATCAGTTCATAACAAAGATTATTCTGACATTGATACAGTTGACACCAAAATTATATAATGCTATAACAAAAAACTGCCACTCAGTATCTCAAAGAATAAGAATTTTTAAAACTCAGTATTGAAGTATCTGTATTAAGGTGGGTGCCTGAGCTGGGGAGAGCGATAAGAGGAACAGATAATGAACTAAACTGGAAGGGTGTAGTAAAGCTCCCCGTAGAACTGTTAACATCATCACCTTCAAAGTCATATCAAACACATAATTATATCAATTCCAGCACGGGACATCATTCATGTTACATATCAGGCAAAACTGCATTTATACAGTGCATCATAATAAACATGTTACGCGCTACATTCACGAAACATTAGAACATTGACAATACCAGGTTCAAGTCTGCCTCGCAGTCTTTCATCTGAATATTGGAGAGTTGAAGAGAATCATGATGTTGTTTAGATGGACACTCAGATATAGGCGACAGTTTTGTCGATCCGAAGGGTCATTAGACTAGAAGATAAATTCATATACAGGAATGAACATAATATTAAGATGTTACAGCTCTCATATCATCAGAAGTGACTACATACAGAAACTTGGATGGACAGAATTAAATCGAAAAATTGAAGAAACATTCACTCTCCACTGTTAAGGTGAGTCAACCATTGTTCACGCACGAAACAAATTGTATTTCATTAATTGAAGTAAGAATCCCAAGGACTTGACACGTCTACACTGAAAACAGACTAAACCAGTATATTTCTCAGTTGGAGGCAAGTGTAATCTTCTGGCACTGCAGGGCAGCCCAAGAGCTTAAAGTCAGGTTCATGTAAGTGTCTTGAGTTCTCATTTTGGAGCATCCCACTAACCAGCACATTGTTTCTTCCATGCTCAAGGCAGAAATAAGCAGAAACTGTGTCCACAGAACACATCACTTTACCCACCACTGACAAGTCTGTCAACACAGGCGCAGCCCCAAATCAAACAACTGTGTGAACAAGACAATAAAACTTTGCTGCAGATTCTTATTTTATAAAATACCATATTTATTCAAATGTAAGATACACTTTTTCTTCATGAAAATTGAAAATTTGTCTCTGCATTGGAGATAGCTGCATAATTATAGACTGAGACCATATATCCTGATGAAATCAGTTTTATAAAATTGTGTTTTCTGTTACTTTTTACAATATTTTTCATTATACTTACATTCATACTTCTTACAACAACAAATAATAATTTTTGATTTGAATGTGTATTTTTTTTTTGGTAAAAGTCAGAACTCACAACTAGCCTACAATTATGATTTAATAATATTTGAATAAATATGGTACCAATGCTTATATAACATCTGAACCACAAATGCCTTAAATACTGCTGTATAAATAAGCTGCATATCACAGACGAGAGACACAGCAAAAATTCAAAGGCATAAAAAAATGACTTGTAAAATTAAATGTGGGATCTTGATTTGGGGAGAATGAGAATTTTTTCCCCAGATATGATCTCCATATCAGAATAAACTTTTTGTGCTTGGATGAGAAAATATTAGTTATGAATTACTTAGCATTTTGTTAACTGGGACAATATTTGTTTTCGTCTTCAAAATTCATAAACCAAGCTTCAATTTTATGTGACGTGCAGCAGCACAACTTACTTGTACATCTACAAGCAACATTCTGAGGCCTAGTTACAAGATTTAGACTTGCAGTAATGCATACAATGTAAGGGGACACAAATTCAAACATGTTCATAACAACAGGTTCCAAAAATATACTATGACTTATTCATATAAATGATAAGTATTAACCAAATAAATGTTTGCAAATACGAAGGTAATCAACATCAGAGGTGTCTCCTGCAGCATAGAAGTGTGCGGTGGAGTAATAATAGGCAGGTTCATAAATACAGGCTTCTGTGATGAAGAAATCCTGAAATCAAAATACAAAATCAGGTACTACGTATAACTACAGGAAAATTTAACACAGACATAAAATATGGATTTATGACAAGGCTAAAGGTTCTTTGCACAGACAGAGACAGCCTTCAGGCTCAGGGGGCCAACTTCTGCCTTCATGTGGCCCAAATTTAACAGTAGATATCATAAATGCTAACAAATCAAGGAATTTCAGTTTAGAACAAAAATTCTGGCACAGTCACCAGAATTTAACCTTTGTGAATGGCAATGGTGACAACATCAGCACATAATATCAACCCACGCTGTTGTGTGGCTGACTGGGGATTAGTCAGGTGCCCACAGTAACCAAGGTACTGTGGGGATTCCCCACTCAGATAGTGTGACATTAACAGACTCATTTTTGCAACTTCAGTTGCAAAACATGCGTAGAAAAATCTATCACAAGACTGTGACTTGAAGGTCAGTGAAAAGGTCTTTACAATTTAAATTACCGAATTATGAATGTGTGAGCACTTCTGGTATGTTTAGGGTTGATGCTGAGTAAGACAAGATGTGCATGGAACAGGGCAGGGGTGCTCAAACAGTTAAGCTTCACCCAGGGCCCAGGAATGTTATGCTAGTGATTTATAAAAATAATTCAGTGCATTTGAGTTTGTGCACCCCTACTTTACACAGTGGTGCAAGAATTACAGACCATATGACCCAACATGCAGTCATTATCACTGTAACATTTGTGTGGGGTGGTACAGGTATACGAGCACTGATCTGGGACAGATCCAGCTTCAGTCCCTGTGGAAGGATATCAGGCCACAGTGTGGAAGAATGGAAAGTATCTGTTGTGCGGCTCCAGTAGAGGGTTCTACATTATCATTCCAAAGAATAAATGAAATGCATGAACATATTAGGTTCAAGAAATGGATGAGAAAACCGTTTGGCAGACATGCCAGCCATGTAATTTCCTGCATGAAAGTATAATAATACCATGCAGAAATAGAAACATCTTTGAGTACGGAGTCCATGACAAGAAATCCAATCACCAACGGGGTTGGGGGTAATGAAAATATGCGGCTAGAACTTACCAATGTTAAGACATATGAGGAGTTTGAAGTGTTTGCCAGTGTCTCACCTCTTTGCTGACCAGAGCAAGTCTTTTCATGTGTCACATTCAGCCCACAGGCCAAAGATTGCCTACCCCAGGTGTCCTTCCTCTCAATATGGTGATCTCCCTAATGCATAAGTGATTTGTAAACTGTGTTGTGAAAAAACAGGCTAAACAACGATACACATGCATATATAAAATCATATGACATGAATGAACGTACACTTTATACCATGCATGATGTGATGCTCAAGTTGTAAACAACTAAAACCTTCAACCAGTTTGATTAAAGTATTTAGTTTACATCCTTTAGGACTTATATTCTAGTTGCAGATTTATGATGAAGTTTTGAAGGTCATAGTAGATATTATAAGGAATATGCCTTGATTACCTGAAAATTTTAAAACTGAAAGCAGTATTTATTGAGTAGTAATGATTGTCTCTCAATCTTCTAACATTAACTTACAACTTAACATTAATATGTCTTTAGTATATGTTCCAAATAGGTCTACTTAGCAATCATCTAACAGGTCAAGTAATAAACTAAATGTCTGAACAACAAAATAATAAATTTGAGAATGGTGACATTGTAAAACATTGAGGTTATGTACAATAAATTTAATATACACAAAGCCTACACTTAAGAAGTTCTTTGCCAAAAAGAAAATAATAATCTGTAACCTATTTATATTTGCATGCAATAACAACTTAACCTCACAACGACTCAGTCATATAACCAATATAACCATCTGCACGAGTCCACCACATTAGTCCAGAAGTTAAATTTCATTTTTACAGTTGATTTATAAATTAACATTACCTAAATAACATATTAAGAACAAAAGATTTGCAGGACTGGAAATATGCAATGTGAAAGAAAACTTTATGGGTTATGCCTAAAACTCTGTTTTCATCTTAATGTTGTCAAAAGAGATAAAATTGTTAAATATCTTCCTGAAACTGCCTCTTTTGCTCCTAGTATTCTTTGCTTTACCAACATGAAACGTTTCTGAAAATTCGTTTTGTGTTTGTCCCATATTCCTGAATCCTTCAGTATTTTCTGTCCAGAACCATTTAGCCCACTGTTTAAGCAGTATACTCTCCATCAAACAGGGCAGAGGAATCAGGACTACTTAATTGTGGTTTACAGTAAAACAAATATCTGCAATTCAGCCACAAAAACACATAACACACAGTATAAATCGAATTTCTTCAATGTCATGATACAATCACTGTCTTCCATGTGACGTGAAAGTGTCAGTATCAAAAGTAAATGCCTGTGAGTGTTCCTATCACTGCTAAAGGTGAGTGGAAGAAGACGTAATTATAGTGACCAGGCATTTTAGTATCACGGCACATCTGACAGTGCTCCTTAAATGGATGTTAAAGCAGGTGATCCATCAAACACACACTGATCCACAAATGACACAGAAAACATACGTCTGACGGGTGACATGCGACAACACTTACTGGTGACACAAAGTTGTAAAGGCCAGCAAACAAGTGAGGAGGCAAGATGCTATAAAATGGAGCAGATGGCCCCATGACAGCCGTGGGAACTGAATGCATTTGCTGACATGGTGGCAGTTGGAAAGATGGGCACACGGTTGTTACTGCCTCGCCCTTTTGCATTGACTGGAGACATCAACAGAAGAATAAATCCAACACTGGGATTTATATTGATAACACATAAAACCTTGCTGAGGTGGACATGTTTTTCAACATACATCTGAACGTTCCTGCACCATTTTAAATATTGAAGTGAAGCAAGGAACACAGATATCTCCGTTAAGACACAACATGGATAAGCAGTACTAAGTGAGAGGTGGGAAGGGCAGTATTTTAAGGCAATTACAAAGCTTATGTCAAAAGTAAATTTCCAATTACAAATTAATTTTAGTTATTAAATGTCATGGAAGCAAATGTAACAGTTAAACAAAAAATTCTTATATATTTTTTATCTTGACTCTTTCATAATGAAAGCATTTCAGAAAATAGTAATTCTTGTCAAGTTATACCTGAGCCATGGCCACCGAGGGAGGCTTGCAGCATTGGATTGTCTTGAAGGGGATACCAGCGCGCCTCCTCATCCACCACGCCTGGATCTGAACATACATTAATGAATATGTTTGTTGTTCTATATATGTCAATATTAACCTTTTTTTTAGAACTTAAGAATTTGTACACAGAATAAATACAAATTTTGTGAACATTGCTTCATGATCTTATAATTTCTCACACTGTGCAGCCACAATTGATTATCAGAAGTTAACCAGCTAGCCTCATGACGAAGCTTGACACAAAAATGCGTTATTACATTTCTTCTTCTTCCTGCAACGCTGTCACTTTAGGAGAGTTGCCCAACAACTAAGCTTCTCCGTCTGTCTTCCCTCAGCTCCTTGTCCTCAGTTCCTTCCATCTTTTCAAACCGACATCCCATCAATCTCCCTGTTAAACTAAACACATGTAGTGCAATGAAATGCAGCTAAATTACTTTCATAAGGACACTTTTACCTGCAAGATCCAGTAACACGCCACCAAGGGAATGATTTGGGTGGTAGATATCATAATTCCAGGCAGTTACTTCCAGGTAACAGGTATTCAGTTCTTCTGGTGGAACATTTTCATATACCATCGTTGTATTCCATTCAGGATTGCAAGTCTGTGAGAAATAACGTGTCCGTCGCTGGTTCTCCATACTGACAAATATACATATAAAAAAGTAACACCATCACTGACAGTTCCATTAGTGTGGGTTATCTTATGAAGAAGCCTCTCAGTAGCTCAAGTACTGACTCTACAGTCTAGAACTGGCCCCAAAAGACTTTTCATGGATGAAGACCTTTTTCTGTATGATTCAAAACTCAGAACATATGACTTCTATTCTGAAGGAACAAAATCCATAAAGTCACATTGGAATAAGTGTGTTAAATCATTGCAGCGTGAAAACAAATGCATTTGAGTTCAGTACTGATTTATAATATACAAGCACTCACGTTCTTCCTGGCAGAAGATACACTTTAATCAGAGGGTCAGGAGGAGTACCGTTACACAACGGTAAGTTTCTTGCTCTCTTCACTATGACGTAAAGTATACGTGCCTTCTTATCGTAGCATACTTGCAGTTGAACTTCCCCCTGTAAAGAAAGTATACAAATATGACTGGATGACACAGAACTGACTTCATCAGAAAACAAAGAACGCTGAAGCAAACATAACACACTCTCACTCTGCAAGTCAAGATGTATAAATGCTAAGAAGTATTTGAGGTCCTCATGGCAGTGAGTACAAACATGGCTGTCGTGGGGAAGTTTGTGATCATCTAAGTGACAATCAGATTCTCAAAAGGACTCTGCACCATAGTGTTAATTAGGCCTTTGAATTACTAGAAAACCTCACTTTGTTAGGCAGCTGACAAGGTGCTTGGGAACTTCGGCCACCGGGTTCTTTCAGGTCTGCTGATGAGCTGGTTCTTTTCTCGCATTCTGACAACTTTCTTTCAGTTTCTTCAACACAGTTAAGAGCTGAAAACATAAGAACTACACTGATGCTATCAGAAGATAGGAATTTTGAAGGAAATATAACCACAACTCCTGACAGAACTGAACATTGTGTCATACAATTCTTTGTGTTCCTTAGCAACCATTCATAAAATTCTATCAAAAGCAATTCTAAAATGTGTGTCTGAAGTTTCTGAACACAAGCCTAAATGACTGGCTTCTGTCTGCTAATATTACCCTGCAAATTATCATATGTTGATGAACTGCTGTTATTCCCACTGTTGTGAGACTCCAGAGACTGGATGCTGCGCCGTGGGGGCTTTGGTGGTGCAGATGTTTTGACACTGAAATACAGAAAACCAAAACATCTGTACTGCATACAGTCAACTTCAAACAGAAGCAGTAATGCCGACTTAACAAACAGCAGTTAGCACGTGTAGTTCCTACAGGCATCACAAGGACAGGTGATTAACAGGAACTGTTTTCATATGGAAAAATGGACGACTAATTACTAAAAGTGATGGAGGGGGGCTTTATTACCTGTCGGACCCTACTTGTCTCTGGTACCTTATATAATAGTGAATGTATGTCTGTGTGTAGGAAGAAAATATATAAAGGTCAGTCATTCCTTTTAGCAAGTTTACTGTAGAAAAATTAATGACATTTAAAAAGTTTTGAACACGTACCTGAAAGGGCCCAAAAATATTCAATAAGAGAACCAAAAATACCACTGTTCTATCTGTAAGGCATTCACCCAAAGACAGTTTCATATACGGGGGCTTGGTTCTTAAGGCTTCTCACAAAATGGTTCATTACAGTAGCACACCATTGGTCCCTATCTGAACCAGATGCATCTTACTAGACACACCAAATGCTAACGGGAGCTCACTCACACATAATATTCCACACTAGCACTGTCAATAGAAAATGCCTGATATGCCCCTTATAATATCAAACATAATATCTATTTTCACAAACTGAATTTATTGTTTCACGGAAGTTGGAATGCACTTGCCATAAGCTCCTTAAAGCATGGAAAAATAAAAGTAAAAGTACAGAACACAATAAGGAAGGCTTGTCATTAAGACACTGTGCTGTAACAACCGCAATACTCGAGTGCAATGATAATGTTCACACTGCAGTGTCTCAGTCTGTATTTGTGGTACCATTATTATCTCTATGCCACTGTATCTATGACAAGAACAATATACTACACACATAGAAAAGAATGTAACAGTACATCTCAGATTTAAATTAGGACTTTAGTAGTAATTATTCATTTATAAATTCTACTAATTTCTCTGTGCAAATAAAAATGTTTAAGCTGTCATTTAAAATTTGATATTATCAATATGGTTACCTTTTTACCACTATTTCAACTTCGCCTTCTGTTTGGGAAACTAGCTTCTGCACATCTTCAAATGTCTTTCCTATAAGAGGGACTCCATTCCACTCCAGAACTTGGTCGCCTGCATTTAAAACAAAACAACTGTTAAGAAGTTTGTGTGATCTACTGTTATCTCGATATACTCCAAAGATCCCATACACAGCACTCAGAAAAGATGTAATGAGATTATAATTCATAGAAAGAGAGCATCTTGAAAAACATTAGTACCAGACATGTACAAATACAGTTTTTCTGTAACTATTACACATGTAAAAAGTGAATCAACTAGTCGATTGTGTGTTTAAGTATGCACTAAACCTATGCATCAATCACAGTGGTATGCTGAAGCTAAGAATAGGAACAAGAACACAGAAATATAAATGCTGTGGGTGTTAAAATACAACCAAAATTTGGAATTTGGTGTCACATTAAGGGAGAAACACAGACTGAGGTTTCAGGTGTCTTAAAACAGAGCACTATGGAGAATATTTGGACATAAGAAAGGTGACTATGTATATCATTTAAATAATTTTACTACTTTGTAATCCACACCTTCTTTGATTTCTCCAAGTGACTCCACTACTCCTCCTGGGTAGATTCGTGTGACATATGCTCCTAGCTGCCCTCCTGTACCTGGAATTTCTTTCCCTCCAATCACTCTCATGCCAAGACCATTGCCTGGCAAACAAAATGTTTCCTTTGCTTATTCATTTGTCTGTGCCATACATAACCTAATTTTGTTATAATTCTCAAAATAGAATTTTCTGTAAATCATGACATTGCACCATGTCCTTGAAGTTATTTTTTATACTACACATATATTTAATAGTTTGTATTTCTGAACTTTTCTTCATGTCTCCAGAGAAAAGGGCATCAATTTAAAAAAACTGATAAGATAAGGAAGTACTGAAGAATAAATCTGAGTTGACACTGATTTGTTAAAAGATTTCTGCCACCAAAGGGCATGCTGACAGCTAAATAAACTAAGGAACTGTACAAACAAAAGTGTTTGTAAGCATTTGAAACCTTGAAGTGGTCTGCCATGTGATCATTCCCAAAGTAAGAACTCTTTTACACATAAGAAAACATAATATTGTTCAAAATCCCTGCCCACCTTAAACTTCTGAAGAAGTGATAGATTTTCATGAAAGTAAGTAGGAAAGTCTATCACTAAAAATGCCCTTATGTCCTATTTACTTTAAAATCCCAAGGTCCAGCAAATATAACAGAATAATGTTTATAACTACATGCATAAACTACTTTAATTGTTGCCATGGTATCAATGTTCAGGGATTTTTGAACTTATGATGTGCATTACTGACCATAAACCACTGTGTCCTGCATGTGGCTAAGAAATGTCATCACCCACAGTATTTTTCATTGTGTGTAGTTCTTGGCAGTTATTACTGTTACACTTGGAACTTTATTAGTTTCTTTAGAGGTAAAAAACATATCTACAAGCATTCAACCCATTCCCAGATTACTGTTATTTTTAAATAAAAGGGTAGGTAAAACTGGTATTTATGCAATCATTAAATTATCAAGAGTACTGCAACTGAAACAATGAACTTTCATCTGTAGGAAAAGTATATGTAAATTCTCGTTCTAATCATTCCTGGCATTAAAAGTGGAGACCAGTGATTTGTACTGAGAGAGAATATGTATCAACTGCTTTAAAAATTAGCTCAGACATTAATTCAGGAGGCCTTAGTTTAGTCATAACCACTGACATATATGCTGGAGTTTCATGCTCAGATCCCCAATTATACCGGTACATTTACAGGGATGTACCATAACTGCTTTTATACCAAGTCTGACTTTATGAAAATCATTTCATTTTTAAGAGCCTTCATAGACCCCGAAGTAAAAGAATGGAAATTTAAAATACAAAAACATATAAATAAACAAACATGAAACATAACAATAGAACTATATAATTTCACCACTATCAATATAAAAACTTCACTTGAAAATACCTCCAACTGATCTGTCCTTGGGGTCTCGTGTCAAAAGAAGGCGTTTTACAGGAAAGTCGTATTTCGGCGCTGCATGCTGTATACCGGATGCCTGAAAAACACAGTAACAGAGGGATCAATGGTCCACCTTGAAACATGCAATGTCAATGACAGAATTAACTAATGAACCACTGGATCCAGGCAAGTGAAATAAAAATAAATCATAAACGGTTAAGTTAAATGTATACAGAACATGGACTTAAGTATTAATGATAATAAAACAACACCAACAACAACAGCCATATACTGTAACATATTTACAACCACACACTATGATAGAGTGTGACTCAAGTGGAATTCAATCACATGACCATATATGCAAGAGCCCAAAATGCCAACTTACATTACATTAATGTAATATTACAACTAAACTTATGTGCAATAGGAAAGCAAGCTGCATGACCTCTGGTGTGTGCTGGTATCAGTGAAGAGACCCCTGTCATGCTGTCTTAACACCTTTGAACCTTCTACAAATTCCATGTGCAATTTACAATGAAAATATTATTGTCTGTAATAAAAATCTCTTTATGGAAAGGGTTAAAAGTCAAAGCAATGATAATAACTTTAAATGTAATTAACTGAGAGGCTTAATAAAAAGTACAATCCAGTGGTATATATTATAAATAACTATACTCTGCCAACTCATCTAAACGTTCCAACACATTATATTATTACTTCAATAGGATAATATGACAACACCAGAGTGGCTGCTTCCTGTGCCCAGGGAAGCCATATACTTCTTAAATGTGCACACACTTTAATAAATCATGCAAACCCACACCAAACAGCTGAGGTAGTGTTCAAAATCTCCAGAAAAACAAGGGCTAATATTATAAATTTTTGCACCTACACCTGTTTAACAGGGTTAGGTTAGATTAATATTTTTGGCATTAACCTAAGTTATATCATCATGTAATTCAATTTATTGCTCTTATATTACACCAAAATAACAAAATTCTGTCATTAAACAAATATTTGAAAACTACCGTGTTAAAATACATATATATATGAATCATTGGTAACCCTAGGACTAGAGTACTTTTGGATTTGAGGACTCATAGCAAATAAAAATATGAACTGAAACTCAATAAATGACATAAAATTACTTCTAATTCACATCTTCTTCCATAAAAACCTGACATTCATCTTCCAATGTTGTTACTAATTTGCCTGCATTTCCTAATCTATTTATGCTATTCTGGCATCTCTCTTTGTAATCAAATATTCTCACAAAGTCAAAGAGTTTAGTTCCTTGATTCACAGTGGTGATAAAAACATATATTACTACAGATTGACTAATGCTAGTATTGTACAGGGCACAAAGCTTTGATTCATACTTAGAAGCAAAAAGCTACAGACTGTTTGAAGTGTGTTTATTGATAAAAAAGTAATAATGTCTCTGCAGTGAATTGTATAGTCAAGTAATGTATTTTAATATCTTTATATTTGACTAAACCTGCCACCTGAGGTTCACTATACAATTAGAAACACTTTTTTAAAACCGCATTTGGATGTTAGCAACATGTGCAACGTCATCCTGCTGTACGCTGGAACACTGGCTAAGCCGTGCACATAGAGCCATCTAGCCTCTTGCGTACAGATTGTTGAGGGAACCAGAATACACAGAAGTACAGACATCTACATGCATGTGATGGCACATATTACAACATATGTTATATTATTGCAAATTCAGCTTACGTTCTTACTTGCGCTTTCTTTGGTGGGGCACTTCCCTCACCCCCACTACAAGTTTTTTGGGATTTCCTTGAGCTTCCCCCAATTGTACCATAGTCTTCAGGGAAAGACTGTTGTTTCTTCTTATTCTGCAACTTGTCCGAGTACCGAGATTTTCCTGTTAGTACAGTATGAGCAATATTAATAAATAATAAATGCTAGAATCACACACACTGTTCCTGAACTCTGTAAAACTTAAACATTCTCTGTGCCTGTAATGATGTCATTACATAATACTTGCATTGTAAGAGATAATTACAACTGACAAATGAATGACACATTCCATCAGCGGTGAAGATGATTTACAGAAATCTGGTATGGCCTCAGCATTTGATCACATGACTACAAGGTACATGCAGATACTTTGTGAAACCACTATCAGTAAATTAATGCTACTCTGCACAATTGCAGTAATGTTATTCTCAGAAATAAATTACTTTTTCCTTTCAGTAACACCTTTACCTATAATTGCTTTCAATCAGTATCAAAACTATGTGAAACTGATTCAATTAAAAAAGGTGGTAGTACTGAATATATACTATCCTGAATTTCTTATAAGGCTCTTCAGGCTGTGATAACTTAACTGGTACTAAATACAAGTTAAAAGGATACTTACCTGCTTTCTTATAATTAATCTACAACTATATGAGATATATATAATACAGATATACATAGTAAAATCCACTCCTGTTCTGGAGGTCCGGGGTTAAAATGTTGACCTGGACATAGCCTATACTGATTGAGAGTTGTGTGGTTTTAACCCATTCCTCACAAGCAATTGCCAAGATAATACCTAAATTAAGTTGTCATTGTATTCTTTCAAAATCAATGTTCATCAATCATCTTACCATTCAACACCAAATAAGCTCTGCACAGAGAATTTGCATAATGTAAAGAAAAGTGCCCCTAATAGTTATCTGGATCTCCTTTGACTAGCTCTTTATAGACAATTTTTGAACTTTCAACAAAGAGACCTGAAATACCATGCAAAAAAGCAGGCTACCCTACAATATGAAGTTTACTGTTCTCTGTTACATGCATCGATATGAACAGCATAGCATCATGCAGTTAATATGAGCTTGCATGGAACGTATACTTACATGAATAACAGTTTATTTTTCAATAAGTTGATTAATTTTCCTGTTCACATTAATTCTCTTCATCCACACAATTTTCTCTTCAACAATGAATCTTGCAACAATTCACATTCTCTGCTGTTTCTCTAAATTAACGAATGTAATCACTAGTCCCTCCTTGATACTTTGCAGTGATTAATATGTACCAGGGCTATTTGCTCACACACAAACTCCCAGCATAACCAAAAAAGAATACAAAGATATGTATCTCAATTGAAAGAACCATTTCTGTAACTCACACAGCCAAACTGCAGTGCTTCACTAAACAATCTATGTCAATAATCATGGTAATCACCATTTATTTATGTTATGACTCAACAGATTTGATAATCACGCAATAATTAACAGTACCAATATGTACTCAACCTTTTGCCAACCTTCTGATATGCAGATTAAATATCAGATATTCATCTTTCATTCATGTCTGTTAATGAAGTTCTGGTATCACCCATTTCATGCAAAAATATCATAATGGAAAGGATTCTAATTTTTAATATCTGTAACAGGTCTCAATAGGCATAATACTGGAAAGGACCATGATAATGATGATGATATAATGGTAATTTCTGTATTTATAGTACCACGTCCATACCAAGCTATAGATTTGAGAGTTTAAGAACAGACTGCCTGACCCACATTCATTAAATCTGGAAGGTAAACTCTACGGCTGTAAATCCTGACAGCATAAAGAAAAAGGAAATGCACGCTGGAATGTAAACTTCCACTTCCTATCCTGAATGATGTTGTATTTGTTCATGAACCTTGTAACACAGGACCTTCTAACTGTAGCTTGCAGTCAGAATGTCCCATTGTGTCAATGTAAAACTTGCTTACTTCACACCCCGCTGCCTCAGATACTAGCAAAGATATTAATTACAAATTTTCTTACATTCATATAGTTTGTTTAAGCTATAAAACTATCATTAAATTTAAAAAGCTAAGTGTATGGCAGTACTGCTGATTAAGAAGCACTTCAAAGTTCAAACATTGTGTGTGTATGTATGTCATAAATTCCAGTCATTTAGTGCAATTTTTGTAAAAGCTTCCAAAGCGAAACTGAGATTGGCTTCATGGTTAAATGATTGTGCAGAAAACATTTCTAGCAGGTGAACACCTTTCCTGAGGACTCTTCCAACATGCTCCAACTGCATACTGAACTACAATGTCATTAAATGTCAAGGACAAGAAAGTAAGTTTAGCAACAAAACAAACGCACAACACAAATTTGCTGGACAGAAAGAAGGTTAACTTTGATCAATCACTAATGGAACATTTTAACAGACTGGATTTTCATTCTTCACTCACAAAGGCAGTAAAAGGTAAGACAACATCAGTCAAACATGCCAGTATCAAACAAGATGTCTTCATTTCTCTTGGCAGTACTGAGCCAGTGACATCGCAAAACAAGGTGCCATGCAGTGGAAGCATGTTTCACTTCTGTTCGTAGAAAACAACTTTAAATTTCTATGCAGCACTCAGACACACTTTTAAACAGCAAATACACCTGTTACTCTGTAATTTATTGTGGGAATTAATTTACTTAAATCAGATATTGTGCCACTTGCTTGCCTGGTTGCTTACATGCCACCTTTATCTCCAGAGACACAGGGACAATGCCTTCCACTAGAATATTACTCAGATAACATCTATGGGAGCCAGACCTTAATATTCCTAGTCATCGCTCTATTAAAGGCGAGTTTTCAAGACCAGTTGTGAAGATGAATCCAGTCATTTATTTCATCCCATTTCCATGCGATGCACCAGTACATTCCTGTGATATCAGCTTCAAAATGAGACATGATCTTTACCCTGCCAAGTACCCTCTAGAGGAAGGCAGTTTAAATACTTAGCATACTTTTAGTTATGTCCTTTCATACCTTTGTAATATTAATTGCAAATAATCCTTTTATATTCCATCCATTTTAACTGCTTTGTGTTATTATATGAACATATGCGATTCAGTCTTTATTAGACCATCATCAGTGTTTTTGTCCCATTTGGTTAATCCTCATTGCAACCCTATAAACCTTCCTTTTAAAACCATTAATATCTAAAAATTAAAATTTATTTTAAATTTAAAAGCATTATAATGTTCCTATATATCAACATGCCCCATTGTGACAATGTAAAAGAAGAAGAAGAAAAAAGCACATTTCTATGATTAGTTATAACCTATTAAAATTATTTAAATCAGTAAATCTACCCTTTCAAACACTGCACTGTCTTCTCTTGTGTTACTTCATCTTTTATTTATTTTAAAAGTCGTCTTTCACCATTAAACTTAGAACTTACTGCCTTATACCATGTCAGATGCTACTGTCTCATGTTTCAAGTTTAATCACGACCACTTTCTTCCAAGGTTTCTATTCTTCTGCAATACAAACTATTGCAGTTGTACAGTACTGTGTTACTGATGCGATGTTGGGATTTGACTCATTCTCAAGATTAAGAGAAGGTCAAAAGTTCCCTACTGCCAGGACATTAGCCCTCCAAATAACACATCGTAAAATCTATTTAGCATTACACAGAGACTGCAAACTGTCAATCCTGCATTTGGACATCACATCAGTGACACTGATGAGCATTACCAGGTAAGCACAACAAGAACAATCTACTACCTGTGACTGAGGCATCGTTAAATGAGAGGGAGGAAAGGAAAGAACGAATGTGACACAAATAAACAAAAAATCAAACAAACTTGTAAAACTGAGGCCTAAAAGTTACAACTGGAATGTAAATGAGGTTCAGTGACAGAAATGATGTTAGAGCAGTTTACAGTCTTGTTAATGTAGCATCCTGTTTATGTATATTTTAATAATAACCACACTTGAACCATCACACAAACAATTTGTCAAATATATAATCACCATACATTTTTGGTCCAAGGGCAACCATTCTCAGGGTGAGACAATACACAAATTGTTTTAACACTGTATTACTAAACTGCATGTATAAACTGTATTCTTCCTTACCAAACTGAATTATTCTAGTTTTAAGTGATAAATCTTGAGCCAGATCCACTGATGCAGTTAAGTGTAGGTTTCAGCAGAAGCCACATTTTGCTTTGGGAGAGACAGGAACCAGATAATAAATTAACTTTGACCTCTTGACAAGGACTGAAGTGCTGCCTTACAACTATGTCTTGCCTTCATTTCCACCAACAGCGCAAAACTCGAGTCTATTCACAAAATATCTGAAGTCTCTAATGTGTTATATATAATTCTGCTACAATGAAATCAGCACAAGTCTGTTATATTTACTTTGATGTACATTTCTTCCTTTCTTATGTTTACAAAGGCAGGTATCTTTCATCAAGTCACCAAATTGTCAGGGTTTAGTTCAAGTTTCTTGATGTTCTACAAGTCATGAGCAATTTTCAGGCAAGCAAGTAAGCATTCATTTTTTTTGTAAGTTCCACTCTTTCATGAGTGATTTAAAATAGTTTTATACAGTCCTGTAAAATGCTGACACAACAACACCAAAACTGGGCACAAACACAAAATTACATTTTACACAGTAAAGATTATTTATGAACCAAATATGTAATTGAAAACATGTAACCTTAGACCCATTTATATTTTGAAAACACAGCATTACACACTACCCATGTTTTTTAAATACTTAAATTTCAGAATGTAATGTTGTAGGGATGTGTAAGTGTTTAAATAAAAAATATATTGTAGCTAAATTAAATGTATACTGTTAACAAATGAATCTACACCTACACCTGATAACTTAGTCCCTTAAAATAGCCAAATGAATGATGGACACAGAAACATTTTCTAAAAATACAACCTACATTTAACACAAAAAGTTCGGGTACTCATTTTTTTTAGAATTTGCTAATTATTTTACAGTTACAGTCTTCCAATATTTAGTCAATGTTTTAGGGCTATGGACACTTAGTATTTCAAAATAAAGTTGTTGCTGATATACAGTTATGCTCAATGTAAAACTAATCAAAAATACACCTGATGCTTGGCTAACACTTTAAATCAGAACATTATTTAGTGGAGATCATAACAATATAAAGTATGGCATCTTTCCCTGTCATACGTGTGCATACTTTCAAAATCATTCTATTTTCATTCATGCATAGTTATGTTTCATGAAAATTGATGTGCACATGATTAAAAACATTCATACTACAAAAGACTAGCAGAAGAAATGTTTTATGCCTAGGCCAAGTTCTAACAGATAAGTGTTTGAGTTTGATTTTATTAATTTGAGTACTCACACATCCCTACTTACCAAATGCCAATGATTTGCATTGATTGCTCTTGTCCTCAAATTATATTATGGTACATAGCTGTAACAGGCAGACAGACAGACAGACAAGAGACAAAAGAAACAGACATGGAGGATGACCGGAGATTGTGGAACAAGGGAATAAAAACTCGCCAGCTCTCTCTTCAACAAATTTAATAATGAATAATATATTACATGCACCAGTACAGTACAGAATGGTAAGCAGTGAAGCATGCAGGAAGGGAAGTGCAGGGCCTCAGGGTCACGTCAACACACATTGTCATCATCCACTGGCCAACTGGTCACCATTAAAGCACAATATTCACTGGCCAGGAAACACAGAGAAAGCTGAAAGAAAGGTTCTGGAATTTGCTTAACACCAAGCCCACTCAAGTGAGAGTTTCAAGTTCCAAACAGAAATAACTAGTAAAATTCAACAAGACAACTAAGTAAAATATCTTCCTAATACTCGACAACAATAATTAGTATATACAATAGTGCGTCACTATATGGAATCACGATCCCGTATCTTTATTATTTGGTCTCTTGAAGGAGCTGTTGGCAAAAGAGGACAATGGAGAGGATAAGGGCTTCAGAAGACATACAGAGATACACAACACAATGCACGCTCATGAAGAGAACTGGAGGACAACACCTACTTCACGTACACTCTGGAGCCATACTTGCCTTTCTGGGGTAGGGCGAGTATGGACTCGTTGATTGGGGAACTGCCTAGATCCTCAAGCAGCTTGCGTGAGCGAGTGGGCATGTCAGGCAGCAGCGGCATAGCGTGGAGCGTGAAGTCGGTCAGCGGGGAGAAGTCGGAGAGGCGCTCATAAACCCCGGCTGTGTAGTCGTCGGTGCGAAATGTGGAAGCTATGCGGTCCATTGAGCGGTCCTCCTCTGAACGACGTGGAGAATGGGCACGGTAGTCAAAATGAAGACTCCCGCCCCGCCCTGAAAGCAGCAACTCGTCGATTGACTTGAGCACACTGGATGTCCCATACCCTCCACCCCGTCCAAACTCTGGTCCAGAGTGAGGTGTGAAACCCAACTCTGCACTCTCACGCAGTCTAGCTAAGCGGAGGAGTTCTTCATGCAGACGAGCATTCTCCTCTATCTGCTGGCGACGCCTGGCAATCTCTGCCTTGATCTTTGCTTTCTTTTCCTCTCGGGTCAGCTGGTCATCATCATCATCACTCCCATATGGCGAGGGGTTCCAGGAGCGAGGTTTGCGATTCTTACGCGCATCATGGCGCCTTCGCGCATCTATTCCAGCTTGACCGTCGCTTGACCTACGCAGATTGTACCTGCAGGCAACAAACATCTTGCTCAGTGCATGCACCAAAGTAGTGGAATATAACAACTGCTAGAAACATAAACACATGCAGGCCACTCGAAACAGCATAAAAACCTGTATGATATGATCCCAGCAACTCACACAAAGTAAAATACTTCAATAACACAACTAGCAGCACAATGCCACTGACAATTTTCTCCATTTTTGGCAGACAGTTTAAAACACATAATTCTGTATATGCAGCTGAATCACACAAACATAAGCAGTCAAAATCTGAACACAAGCTGTTATACACAGGACATTTCATCAAGAAAAACCATTATGAAATTCTAAATAACATAACTGTAGTTTGTAAATAAGTAACTGCATGAAATGCAAACATCAGTCCAGCAGGAGACAGCCTCAATGCAGTAAGCTGGAAACTATTGACAAGAATGGCCACAGAAAATCAGATCACCAGCATTCCGAAAAGCCAATAAAGGTTTTCAAACAATCGTTTCCATGATATCTTGTTTGTATAAACCCAATGGTTCTTCAGGGAATGTTTGATTGTTATGAAAGAAAATACTGGAAATGGCACTGTTGTAATTTAATTTTGAGTTTAATAAAAATGTGCCGTAACTTAAAATACTCGACAACTGTAAGAATCAGGCTGTATTTAAATCAGTCTACAAAAATGAGCATCCATCGAAAGATGCAAAATTTTCCTCCAGAATGCGGGTACTAATATACGTACCTGGAGCTGGAAAGGTAGCGATCCTCATCCAGGACGCTGTTGATGGCAGTCTCACGGAGAGCGCCCCCAGCAGCAGCATATGAAGATGCCAAGTATGACTGAGATGGATCCAGTTCTGCTCTCCATCCCATGTCATCAATGGATTCATATTCATAGGCTTTGTATGGCGGTTTCAGAGATGGATGAAGATATCCCAAATATCCCTAAAATAAAAGAAAAAAACTTCTTTACCTCACATTGTACCATTTTTATCTCACTGTCAAATGTAATCACAATTCCTTATTATACATATAAAAAGTGTAACATCACAATAAATTTAACAAGAGATAATACTCATACTTCATTCAACTAGAAACAATGCAATGAAGAAATTAGCAATTTCCAAAGATTTAAACTGGAGAATGGTAATTCAGGATGACGAAAGAGCTATAAAGTTAAAATCTTAGACTGAATCTTTATAAACATACATTCCACTGTGCAACAAACATTATTAAAAATTAACATAATCTAAATAAAATACTGATAAACACTTCAGTAATTAAATCACTAACATGAATATTGAACCCCAAAAGCATCATGAAACATGACATAACTTGAGATTTTTGTTTTATTGTCTTAAATGTGATATTGTATACATCAACTAACTGTACAACATAATTATAAACATCACAAACTAGAAAAGCAGTAACCTTCCTTTCCAGTCACATGTTCAATTAACGTAAATGAAGTGCCACCATTTGATTTTGTTTCATTGCAGTAAACATTTGGATAATGGTTTTATGGGAATGATAGGATGCACTCTTGTATGTGATCACCAATATTAAGGAGAAACCCTCATGTCTGTCTTCAGGGTAGAAACCTTTTCTTCTTTTTGACTGCACCCATAGCAAGACAACAATTTCTTTAGAAAGGAGAATGAATAACATTAACATGCTCAACTCAATTTATAACTAATAAAAACAAGAGTATACACTGAACTACACAACTACAGAGCTCCTCTCACATGCAGTGAATTTTCACAGTAGTACAGTCAATTGTGAGTTAACCTTATGAATCTCACTCACTCTGGTACAGTAGTGTTGTCAGGCAAATACGACCTAATGCAGTGCTACTACCTTATTTCTTCTCCATATACACGAAATTCCGGTTTATATCAGTAAATTATATTTTATTTGAATGAGTTCATAACAATATTAACATTTTTTTTGAGTACACTATTTTGACTCTGATACTTTTAATTTTTTCTTCATGACTAGCTTGCGGACAGGACTGACAGTTCTGGAGGGCCTTCAGTTGCTCACAACTCATTTAGATATTACTGTCAACAGTTTGAGAATGAAGACAAGAGTATCAGTAAGTACACTACTTATGTACAGATAAAATAATAAACAGCTTGACTTCAAGTAGCAGCAATTACATTATTTAACGGAATTTTACGGCACGCAAGGAATAATAAAAAATCTTGATATGCTCAAGAGAGATCACTGAACAGAAAGGTAGAACTGTCCAAATTAATGATCTTATTTTTAAATTAATTATCATAATGCACAACAGATTGTAACAAGAACAAAAATTATACACGTGCCACAATAAAAATACAGCTAAAACCAGTCAATGTGTAGTAATATACAACTGAAACATCACAACCTTCTCATATAACTAACATACCCTGTCATAATCACTTTCCAAGCTGCTATCCTCCTTTATCGGTGAGAAAGGAAGATGGATTTTGGGATCTGAGAGCTGTCTTCGGTGACCTCGGATCTTGCGCGACCGCCCCATCACAGGAGAGGCCAGTTTTCGTTGCACATCCAAACTGAAGTCAATTGTTAATAAAGATGTGACATAGCAGTGAGATTAAAATCACTGAAACTCATTATACACTCCCAAAAACATCAGAAAAACAGTGAACCACACAAATATGTTGCAACTGTTAAAAGCAGCAGTGAAGAGACAACAGCAGCCCCACAATTACACAGAGATGAAACCAAGAAACAATCAGAGTTTTGCACATTTTGAACAAACTGAAAATTCTAAAATAACACATCTCACACAAGAAAGATGTGAACATACTGCAATTATGTTAAAATGTGTTTCATGATAAATTATATGCCAAACTGCTCATAAACTCTGCAGTTTATTACACTCATAAACTCTAACTGAGTAGCAGATTTGAGCTTTAATAACTGAAAGTTTTTTTTATCGTATCTATCGAAAAAATGCTCTGGTGTGGAAAAGTGTAAATATTCACCAGGTTGCTAAAACAGCACATTAAATGTATAAAAAACTTACCGCTTCATAGGATCCCGAAGAGCCTCAAATTTATCCCTCTCTCTGCGCTGCCTTGCCTCGCGTTCTTTGTCCATAAAACCAAGTAAACGACGGCGATCTGACGTAGCAGACTTTATTTCATCTCGCAACTGCTCTTTGAGATTGCGCATGTAGGTAGGAAGCTGCGTAATTAAGGAAATTAATATATGACAAAATTACAGATTTAATATATAACAGATTTTACATGGCATGATAAAAGAAACTGGATAGAATAATAATGGAAGAAAACACCCAGAGGAAGTTTTATTATCATCTCTAATTGGCCAATTACACCTAATACTTGACAATCAACATCTAAAAATGTAATGAATTCATTCTTATACTCATGTGTGCAGTCTTGGGTTTTAAGAGTTCACTGCACTGTCATAAAATGTGTTAAAATGCTTGAAGATCAAATTTCGCACACACTGTGTACCACATGTCCAATTGCAATGAATACAGAATAAGGCAAGCAAGTTAGAATCAACAACAGACACAACTGAAACATTTAGAACAGCTGGATGCTGTTAAAGTAATACTTTCTTTAAGATTTGGGCTACCAGCACATCTAAAAGAACAGATAATCTGCTTCTGGATAGCCAAGAGCTGAACTGGCTCATATCTGCTGACCTGCTTGCCATATGGAATGCTGTCTGGTACACCAGATGTATTCAACAGATGGCGCAGATCAGGAGGAAGGCAGGATGCCAAGTCAGCCAGTGGCGTAGAGTACACTGATGTGGTGGATGTCATCCCAGAGCTGGTAGTTCGCGCTCCTGAACTGCTTACCACACTTGATCCTACAGAACACAATATCCAACATTACCTAACTACAGATATGGTCATACTGCACAGTTGACACACCCACCTATTTGCTCTACAAAGTACATCTTCCAACGTTCATACCTGTGAACTTCTTCCCTTCCTTTCACACATCAAAAAAGTTACCATCACTTCAAAGCTCACCTACCAAAACCCTACTATCATAAGGTGCAGGACCACTGGATGCCGACGGTACTACGGTGGCTTAATGCCATTCACTTCCTACCAGTGTAGGGTTAGCTGTGCAAGAAAGTTATTTTAACGAGTTTTATAATAAACTGTAATTAATGCACAATGATACACACAGTGAAACAATCACAATACTATAAAAATATTAATTTTATATAAAACTTCAGTTAGAATTGGCTAATCTAAGAAATTTTCATGGCTTTCTTCAGACATTCCATAAATGCAGACATCTCAAGAGAAGGTAACTTCTTCCTCCAAATCTATCACACATAATCATCCTTATGGCACTCACCTTCAAGAGTTGATACATCATTACTTAAATAACATGTAAAACAACCATAGATATTGGAACAAACCTTGAAGAAGCCCAAGAGCAGAGCCTGGTCGAGGCACAGGGTCAACACCAAGAGAAATCTTGCGAAGGTTTGTCTCACTAGCACTTGGTCGTGGCAGCATTAGGTTCGAAGTTCGAGGTAACATCCCATCCAATGATGTCTGACGTAATGGTGAGTATGACCTGCAGAGAATTGACTGTACTGTTCACAATGTAGTGACTATGCTGGAATATAACATAAGTTCTTCTTCTATGGCGTAACAGCCCGAAGTCAAGCCATGGCCTCCACCCACGTGGGAGGTTTCTTTGTCCTTGACTGGAACGTACCTTCTCTTACTGGAAGGAAGAGAAATGGCTTCTTGATGTGATGGAATCGAAGGTAACTTTCTGCGCATCCGTAATGATTTCTGCGAGTCCGTTTCACTAAGGGTATCCGAAGAATCTCCTCCAGTGTCACGTGATCCACGCGGAGTCCCCACAGGTGTGCCTTGTGGAGTCCCGAGAGGAGTGCCTGAATGTAACAGAGACAAAACTATTATTATATTGCTCTTACACAGCCATGTGCAGTTATGTGTACATTTGTTAGGCAAGCCAATGAGAAAGATGAAATTGTAATGTAAATGGAAAGTCACTGCTGAACTGGTTTTATTATGTGTGTCTTTACTGAGAACTTCAAAGTTTTTGAACTTTGCTGGCAAGGACATTCAGAACTGCTGCTCAAGGTAAAAGCTACAAACCTTGAATTTTGAAATGTTTGCAGTTCTTTTTACAACTATAAAAAGAAAAACCTGCTGGTATGGTAAAAAAATATTTTAGGAACATAAACAGAATTTATAAATGGCCTGTAGACTTCTGGGCTGTGATGCTATCTATGAAGTATTGAGTCACAACCTGGAAGCGGACGACCATAATCCATACTTCCACTGCTGTCAAAACCTCAAATCTCACACAGAATTAATAAGAGTCGAAACACTATTACTCCACAGGTAACTCAAAGTTTGAAGTGTAAGAGCATTTTCTTTGTCTGTGAAAATTATTTAAACCAACATGCATGCTGCATGAGCACTACATCTCACAGAAGCATTTTAAAACAAATATTGTTTTAACCAACAAAGACACCATGTGACATACACTGAAATATTATGCACAAAAATATTTTCAATACCACTCCAATTTACATATTTCTGTATAGAAAATGCTTAAATAGACAATCTACTTGCCAACACGTAATTACCTTTTCCTGTGCTCTGTCTAACACCTAAGAGGCTCACATGAATGAAGACAGGACTGAAATAAATTGATAAATGTAAAGATAAATAAAAAAATAAATATATTATAAAATGAGCAACAAAACAAAAATAAATTATAAAGCCACAAAATAAAATAATTCATTATTTGTGTATCCACAGTGAAATACTAATGTAGGATGTGAGGTTTTCACGACGGTGAGTCTGAAGATCACTGTCTTCTGAAATACTAATCATTTGTTTTCATCCAGTACATCTAGTGCAAAGGTGTATTCATGGATTTATTTCTCCACTCCCCTACAGATCTTCATGGAGTAGGAACAAAACAGAAAGTTATGTAACATTATGAGTCTGTACCTTAACCACTCAATGGCCTCGATTTTTACAGACGAGCACATGTGGATTTGCTGAACCCTGTCTATTAGGTTTCATAGACAATCCACAAGTAATACATATATTACCTATCCATTCTTTTGAAGTGTAACACACAAAAACATCTTGGGTAAGCCAACTGCAGAGGCATATTTTATACACTCTATTAGTTATTGCTGTAAAATTGAAAGCTAAAAGAAAATCTTGCGGTGCCACCATATCGTTTCCAATCTAATGAAAAGCTACTTTAACAAAAGTTGCATATTATTCAAAGATCTATTGCTGTACACACTTTCAAAATCCTATATCAGGTGGCACTAGTGTCACTCCCACCTACCAAGTCTGTACACCTTGACTTTCTCATTACTGATTATATGAAAATAAAAAAGTATGAAGTTGGCTTCCACTGGCTTAGCATGTATGCCAAATTTATTAAAAATTGGTCTACTGGTTCAGAAGTTGAGAAGGGGTTGGGATACATGGACACACATACAGACAGCATGATAATCCCATGAGTCTACTTCTCTATTTAAGGATATCAGGCTAAAAATGGGTTTAAGATCATATCTGATGTGAATAAAAGAGAATTCACAGAAAGATAAAGTCATGAAGACACATGAAGGGAAACAAGTAAAGATCCTCATATTCTCAATCAGGACAATGTACAGAATCAGCTTCAGATCCAGTTCAGTATTCACTGGATAAAGGCCTCAGCCGATCGCACAGCTGTTCTGGACGTGGTGGAATACTGGAAGTTCCGATGTTCTAACTCCGAGTCAAACCCCAGCTGCTTAATTTCTGAAATACCACTTTACACACAGTTCCAAAAAAACAAATCATAAAATATCAAAACATTTTAAAAGTTTCACTGTAAATACACATACACAAACATTACCATATAATAAGCAATACAAACATACACGACTGTCCCGAAATCACAGACAAAAAACAAACAAAAACAAACTCAGAAGATAATTCACATGACTGTAGTGTCCCAACCATGGTCTCTAATCTATGTTTATATCCCACAAATAACTCACTGCATGGAACTTGCTGGAGACCTGTTGAAACTATGTTACCACTGCTCATTACGGGCTGACTGGTAACGAGATGTCCCCCAAGTGCATGGTGAGACACCATGTGCGAGACAGCAGGCTGACTGCTCATAAGGTGCTGTGACTGGCCACCCATCAAGTGCTGGGAGACAGCTGGACTGTTCACCAGGTGTGGCGACACAGTCTGGCTGTTTATCAGATGGTGAGGCAATCCCTGATTGGTCATTAATGACTGGCCAACACCACCATCTTTCATCTGAAAGCAAACGTGTGAAGTTTCCTTCATAAAATGAATGAAGATTAAGTTTGGCAATACAAAACAAAAATGTTTCAAATATATGCTTAAATGAAAAAGAAACAAATCTGTAAGGAACATGGCTGAAAAGTATGGAATCGCAAAATGTAACTCACGATATACTGCCGTAAATAAACAAATCATTTCTGTAAAACTGATACACTTCTTTACTGTGGCTTTCCAAAACCAAGGGCTAACTTACAAAGGAGATTTATCCTGTACCAGCCAGTAAGTTTCTACAAATGAAAGTTAATCCATTTCCGTCACCTGCTGGCGGATCTGCTGAGCTTGGTCAGAAGCAGAGTGAGGCAGAGAGCGGCGGATCTTCCTGAGATGCTGTGCCTGATGCTGTAGTTGCATGTGTTGCTGGTACATCTGTTGCTGCTGGGGGGTCAGGTGCTGCGTGAACAGTGACTGCTGTCCAGAAAGGATACCCAGCACAGTTCCCTGTAAATACAATGAAGTATTTTTGTTACAGAGTCAGTATCTGTAGGACAGATAACACAGGAATCACTAATCTTTCAGTTTGTTAACATAACAAATTCAATGACAATTTAATTTTACTCTGTGTGCTGATAAATTAGAACCTAAATGAATCAAACACAGTAACCACAACTGCAAGTTAGGAGAATGACACTGAGCATTTCTCTTCCTGTT